ACTGGAGACTAGCAAGAGTCACAGAGGTGTACCCCAGCGCTGACGGAAGGGTCAGAAAGGTGAAGCTGTTGGTTAGCGACTCAACTTTGGATGAACGGGGAAAACGTTCAACTAGGCCAGTTTATCTTGAAAGGCCAGTGCAAAAAATAGTTCTACTGGTTGAAGCTGAATAAGCATGTGTTAAACTGTTGTAAATGCTTATAACTTGAAGGTTCAAATCTACGAGGAAATCTCAAGTTGAGATTTGGTGGGAGTTTAACTGCCACAATGTAAATTATGTCAATTTGTTTGATTTATTGTGTTATGTATGTATCTTATTTCCCTTGTCTATTGTTGTTTCTTTTGGGGTAAGTTTCATGCTGTGTTGCGCACGGCCCATTTTGGGTGACGGAAAGGGAAGTAAAAGAGCATGTGAAAAGAAGCTAAGCTATAACCTACGCAGTCACAGGAATGAATAAATAAGCAGTTTAAAGTAAGGGAAAGCTGTAGAGAAGACGAAGAAGAAACCAGCGAATTACCTTTGTTAAGTTTTGTTCCTGAAGCGGATTCACTCCCTTATGGTTACGTGCAGCCAGCGAGGTACGTTAACTGTGTTTATTTATAGCGTACTTGTTAACTTGGGTTAATGTTCATTTGTAATATTTATGTTTGGTTATTCTGTACTTTGGTGTAATGACAGTTTGACGGTGGATTAATGGTGTTTTGGAGGAGAAGTGTGAAGGAAGAATAAATCCATCAGTGAATGAAGAACCGTGGTGTCGTCTATTAACCGGAGGGAGCGAAAGTCAGAATACTCAGCAATTCTCCAGTGAAACAATCGACAAACAGCACAAACTAAACCTGCCTTTTTCTTTTATTTTTAATATTTATATATTTTTAATAACTGCCTGTACAAACAGATATATTGTACTCTTTGTCATTGATATCCACACTGTTGGTGTGATGTGACAGTGTATCCAGATGCCTTGGTTGTGTAACAATCTTGGCTGATAAAGTGGATTCTGATGATAGAAAGACAACAGCTGCCACCACCTCTTCATTCGCTTCGCCCCCTTTCTCTTTCACTTCTGTCCTCATGTCAGTTGGGATTTAAAGCAACCGAAAATATTTCTAGTAAAGTTTTGGTATCACGCTCCACCTGTGAAAGTAAAACTGTAAGGCTTGTCTTTTAGCCTAGTGAACTAGACCAAATTCTTGCTTTGCAAAGTTTGGTCTAGGAACGCTCCACTGGAACCTCTGCAGCCCCAACAGCATTCAGGCTGGCCAATCACAGCTCTCTAGAGGGGTTTCAAACACATAAAGAGCTGTGATTGGTCCATAATGGTGGGCCAATCATAGTGCTCTATCTGCTTAGTGAACTAATCACAGAGCTTTATCCGCTTTGTGGGCCAATCAGGGCACTCTATATGCCTGGTGGGTGGGATGATGCAACAGAGCAAAACAAGTAGGGATGGGTATCGAATTCGGTACTTTTTAAGGTACCGACCGAGCAACGATTCACGTTGTTTCAAACGGTGCCTCGTTTTGGTACCCGTCCTTCATAACGAGAACTTGCCAAGACAGCTGCGCATGCGCAAGAGCGTTATGTCGTCGGTCCCTGCGAGCGTGTTGTAAACAGAGCAGCATGGTAGAAAGAACGCACGCTAACGCTTGGGTCCACTTCACTAAATGTGATGGGTAACTGGGTGATGATGAAACCAGCGACATACAACGATTTAAGTGAGACATCCTCATCTTACTCTGCTCCGTTAGGTAAATAAAATGTTTAAGATAACGTTACCTTGATATATTAGCTTCCGTTTCACTAATGGTGCGTTCGCTTTCTCCTCGGAACTCCGAATTTCCAACTAGAACATGAACGCGCTCTAAAGTTTGGCTTCACTTTACTAAATGCGACGGGTGATTGGGTGAAGATGAAACCAGCGACAACGATCTAAGTGTGAGGCATTATTGTTTTAATCTGCTCCAGCAGTTAAATAAACTGTTAAAGATAACGTTAGCTTGATATGTTAGCTTCCATTGCCACCGTTGTTATCAGGTAATGGTGCGTTCGCTTTCTCCTCGGAAATTCTAACTTCCCAGTAGGAAAAATTAAATGAAAAAAGACGGCAAAAGGAATGAAGATACACAGTAAATTTAGTTCACAGTAAAGATGTTTGCTTCAGTTTAATTATCAGCTTATAAAACTACAAGGACAATGTTAATATAAACAGTTGAATGTTATTTATCGTGATATTTGTCAAATGTTGTTATATATTGAGAAAAATATATATTTAATTATAAAAGAGAATTAAAATAATAAACACTCAAAAGTATCGAAAATTGGTACCGTTAAGTACCGGTATCGATTCGTAGGTACCGGGAATTAGTACCGAATCGATTCAAATGTCAAAGGTACCCATCCCTAGAAACAAGAGTATGTCACATTCATTGTCCAGTAGCATGCGGAGATCATTTGAAAGACAACGGTTGAACCTGCCCCACAACTGAGAGCCATAATTAGAGCGTTGCCAGACTAAATAATACAATTAATAATACTACTTATCTTTGGCATTCAGACATCAATTCTGATTGCTTCACAGCCGGACAGGACACCGTAAAAAAATAAATAAAAAGACAACAGCAGCTCCAACAATCACTCGTTCCTCCCAAGGTCTGCAGAACAGCATCTCTGAACCACAACATGATGATGCCTGAAGCAGATCCAGCAGCAGAAAACCACATCAATGTGTCTCTCCTGTCAGCTAAGAAAAGGATACTGAGGCTTCAATTCATCTGGTGTCACCAACATGAAAGCATGGGTCCATTCTGTCTTGCATCAATGCTTTAAGCTGCTGCTGGTGGCATTCTTGTCCCACTTTGGACCCCTTAGTACCAGCTGAGCCTAGTTTAAGTACCACAACCTTGTTGCTGACCATGCATGTCTATCACTTTATGACCACATGGACCCATTTTTTGATACTACTTCAAGCACGATCATGCACCATGTCACAAAGCTCAGAGCATCTCTAACTGGTTTCTAGAACATGACGATGAGTTCACTGGACAAAAACGGCCTCCACGGTCACCAGATCTCAGTCCAGAACTTATGGAATTTGGTGGAGTAGGAGGTTTTCCTTATGAACAGAGCTGTGTGATGTTATGTTAATATGGACCAGAACTTCTAAGGAAAGTTTCCAACATCTTGTTGGATCAATGACATGAAGAGAGAAGGTAGTTCTGATCTAACCCTGCAGATACAAGGTGTACCGAATAAAGTTGGCAGTGTGAGGCACGTATTTAAGCATCTTCCTCTGTGTTTTTAACACTGAAGTTTAATAGACTTTTGATTTAATGATTACTGCACTACCTCTCTGCTTAAAGTGTAAAGCTGCGTTTTTACCAGGCCCCCACAATGTGGCTTTAAATTTGAGGCCAACCCGGAAGTAAGAGAAATTGCAGTTCCACCCTCATCCGCTGGGGGCTGGTGTCAGAAACGAGCAAATCCTCATTGACTCCCATGTTAAAAATGCCAATTTCACAGCAGAAATAAAACATGTTTACAGCCTGGTACCAGAACATGTTTTTTGTTTAAATGATCTAGTTTACACTCATGACAACTCTGAGGGGGGTGAATTTTTTTTCTCACTCTTCTGTTTAAGTGTATTAAAAGCCTAAAATTCTGTATAATTAATGAGCATCCGACACACGTGACCACAGAGCTAGCTCCGTGGAAAGGCCTCAGTAGAGCCTCAGTCTGGCTTGGAAACTGTTCCGGGATTTTGAGTCTCTGTGTTTGTGTATTCTTGTTTGGATATTTTTTGTGCAATTGTTGGACAAAATGACGTGCTGTGGCATTAATTGCACTAACAGAGCGTCCAAGGAGTCTCCACTTCATTTTTTTCGGTAAGTAAAATTATATTTATGTATTTTAGGTCACTGCCAAGCTGAGCTTAGATTTTAACATGTACTGTTTAACCATGAAATTTAAATGTAATAGGGTAAAACCCAGTGCATTTAACACAATGCTGCACTTTAGAAAATGGGTTGAAATATAACATGTTGGTGGAGCTGGGTTCCGACTATCGGCTTGTGGAGCTCTCGGGAGACCGATGTTTTCCACCCAGAATGCCGGCTGTTTCTCCCCGCAGCCTGGTCCATCTCTGTCTGATCGCGGCTCCTGTTAGCTGCGCGGGCTAACGGCTGGTTCTCCCAGCAGCTCGGCGCATCGCTGTCTGATCGCGGCTTCTGTGTGCTGCGGCGGGCTGACGGCTGGTTCTTATGGCAAGCCAGAACCGCCAAAATACGCCACTTCTCCCCGCAGCTCGGCGCATCTGTCTGATCGCAGCTTCTGTTTGCTGCAGCGAGCTGACGGCTGGTTCTCCCAGCAGCTCGACGCATCTGTCTGATCGCGGCTTATGTGTACTGTGCGGCTGCCGGCTTGTGGAGGTCTCCGAGACCTGGTCTCGGAGACCTCTGGGTTCCACCGTATTTTACACAGCGGTCAGCCCGGCGTACCTCGGACTCAGAAGCTCTGGTGTTGTGCACAGTTAACTCCAGTTGTAGCTAGGTTGCTACCTCCGATAGCTTAGCTCCCACATCCGCATTAGCTTTGGGTTAGCTTCAGGTTAGCTTGTAGATAGCTCGACCGGGTGTTGTCAGTTGATCCCAGCCTTACAGCCCCACCCTCAGCTCCTCCTCTCTTCCCTTTTGTGGAATTGTCTGGGCTTGACGGAACCTGTGACACGGTCAAAATGGCGGTGGTGGCCACCTCCCATTTAGCCTCAAAAACGTGTTATTGGAGTCTATGGAAACCCATTGTCCATATATTAATGTCGATGGTTTTTACACACAAGATGCATTCAGCTACATTAGCTTTAGCATCACAGCCAGTCATTGTACTTATGTTGATGTTTTGCGGTAATAATTACAGCAAACTCTTGGCCTTATTTATAACACTCACTGTTAATAAATAACAAACAGAAACAAGTGAAGATGTTGACGTAAACAAACGTTTTTACCACTTCATCAGCTTCCCCCTGTCTCTCATCGAAGGTCCTCACCAGTCTCTTCCTCTCCTCTGCATTAGAAACAGAACAAGTTCGAGGTTTAAACCAAGAAGGTTTTGTTATTTGACACTTAAACGAGGTTAAATGAGGGAACAACGGGTTTATTTACCTCCGGTACAGCTGAGAGCCTTCTCTGGGATTAGCTTTAGCTCGTCATACAAGGATCTGTAGATTTCGTGTAACTTCTCAAATTCTTCCGACGACATTTTCCGTCAATGTAATCTCGCTGTCTGTCATAAAAAGGCCACCTGTACCTTTTTCTTTAAAGGACGGAACGAACTACACAAGTGGATCAACTGCTTGTGCTTCGATGAGACTCTTCCGCTGCCGCATGACGACTCTCGTGACCAAGTGCCTAAACTTTACAACATTGCTACAAATTTGAAGTATTCACATGCTAAACGTTCGGTGAAATTTATTTCAATACTGAAGATGAATGTGACAATACCATCAATATGCTTAACACTATTTAAATGTCTTACAAGTTATTTTAACGTATTTTATTCAGGCACAAAGGTAGACAGCTTTAAACGGTCTCTGGGAACTGTAGTTTTTCCGCTAATTCTTCTAAAAAAGATTTGAAACAACTGAAACATCATAAAATAAGATAAACTATTACTAGTCACTACAATATTAAATAAAAATGAACGAAGTTTATATTAGTGTGCATTTACTTTGTCTGTTTACATTATTTTCTAGCCAGGCTATTTCCTAAAACAATAATGGGCCTAAATTATAGATACATTATAATAATAATCAATTTTGTACAGAATTATTGTTTTATAAATTATTTACTATTTAGATACAAGGCTACCTATAAAGAATAGCAAGATACCTGGATGATGTCCCGATTGAAACACCTTTGGTTGACGTGGTTCTGACTGCCATATGCGTCGCTCAAAAAACTATCCTCATGAATTGGAAAAATAGAGATACTCTTTGCATTAACCAGTATATAAATCTTTTGTTGGATCATATTACACTTGAGACAGCCTCTGCTTCCACTTCAAATCAATCTATATGGGCTCCTTTGATCGGTTCCATCACATAGAGGTGATTGTGTGTGTGTGTGTGTGTGTGTGGGGGGGGGTTGTCATTGATACTGTCCTGCGGGATGATGTGGGTGATGGGGTGGAGGGTCTGCGCTTGCAGTATCCGGACGTTCCTTGGAGGTGGATTCACTGGGGGTGTCTGGGGCTGGGGGGCTGCTGTCCCACTCTGGAGGCGCTTGGGTTGCCTCGAGGGGTGGATTACTGGCGGTTGTGAGTGGAGCCCCTTGGGGGGTCTTGACGGTGGCGGTGGGTTGCTGCCTGGTGGCTGCATCACCCCTGAGTGGGTCTGGGTGGGGGCCTGGGGGCTAAGGGTGTGGGGGTAGCTGGCCCCCATGTGGGGATCTGGGCGGGGCCTTGGGGATTGGCTCCTAACTTGTATGCTGCTGGGAAGAAGGCGGGAACACACGGCGGTGCCTGGCCCAGGCTCAGGGGCCTCAGGTGGACCTTGGCTCCTCTGAAATAATAACAATTCTGTCACATCATGGGGGAGGGGGTTGTCCAGGAGGGGGAGGACCCAACCTTACCTGATGTCTTATGTCTTACATATTCTGGAAGTTGTGCAAATGCAGGGATGGGAGTAGATATTCTGCTGGGGTGGGGCTGGGTTGGTGCCCTCGGACTCCGTAGGGCTCTGCGATGCTGCTGCTTTGGGCCCTGGCTAGGTGGGCTGGGGTCTCCATGCCCTGGGTGGCATTTTGGGAACAGAGGTGCCTATTGGGGCCAGTGGAGGAGCTAGCTCCCTGGAGGGCTTAGGCCAATCAACCATTCCTCCACATCCCCATACATTTTTTTTTCCTCCTGCTCCCTCACATCATCACACAAACATGCACATAGGATCATGGGGGGTGGGCAAGTCAGGGGGTACAGGTATGGATCCCATTTCCGCATTCCTGAGACAGCCTGCCCCCCAATTTTATTTGCACATTAAGCACTTCAACCAATGACATTCGACGTAAACACACACTTAGGGCTTTGGGAGTGAGCACACTCAACGGCATTTGGCAAGGGGATCTTTCAGCCTCATCCCGAGTGCCGGTGCCCACTTCCAATATTAAACTTCACTTAGATACAGAGGGCTGTGGGGGGAAGTGGGGTTGTGTGGTGGCATCAGCTAGCGTAGGCCAGACGATGCCCGCACTGCCCGCTCACCACAACCATGGAATACACCTCATCAACACACACTAACACTGTATTGGAGCAGGCAGAGGGAGACTAGGGGTCTTAGCACACCTGTGTTGTCGCTTTTTCACGTGTCTGAGCAGAACCTCCCTGAACCGTCTACAGGTGGTTCAGAATGTCTGTGCTCGGCTTCTGACCTAGTCCTCCAAACACACCCACATCACCCCGCTTCTCCTCCAGCTTCATTGGCTGTCAGTCAACTTCAGGGTTCATTTCAAGACCCTGGTTCTGGTCTATAGGGCCTTACATGGACAAGCACCATCTTACATTGGTGATCTTCTCAGTCCCTACACCCCCAGCAGGTCCCTGAGGTCCAGTGATCAAAGCCTACTGGTTGTGCAGCACCAGGCTAAAGACCAAAGGTGACAGATCATTTGCTGCTGTGGCCCCCAGACTCTGGAACTCTCTCCCCCTGAGCCTGAGATCAGTGAACTCAGTGGGCTCCTTTAAAAAGCAGCTGAAGACTCACTTGTTCAAGCTGGCTTTTGTATGACCTTCTTCACCACTCTCTCTTTATTCTGCTCTCCCCACCTATTCCACCTTCCTCAAGATCCACTGATTTCCCTCTTTCCTGTTCACTTTCTCTCTTTCTCAACATTTTTAATCACAATTGCCTATTTTTGCTCATTTTAAATACATTTTTAAACATTTTCTAAATGCTTTTTTATATTTTTACAATTTTTGTTTTTGTGAAGCGCCTTGTGATTTTTATCTCGAGAGGCGTTATATAAATGATACTTTCTTCTTCTTCTTGGCTTCCCATGGCTAGAGGCTAGGAGGGGGAGCTGGCGTGATGGGTTGCTTTGCTCAGTGTTGGGCTCTTTCTGCAGGTCTAGAAGCAAACTCTTGTTCATCATTGATTGTTTATTTTTGTGGAACCCCCCACCCCCTTCCTTTTGTGGCTTCCTTTCTCTTTCACCTCTGTCTCCGAATTTGTCACCAGCATGCAGACATTAATTCGTTTGCTTCACAGCCAGAAAGGACACGAAAAAAAAGAATAAAAAAAAGAATAGCAAGATATGAAATGGCAACTAAAACAATTATGTAAATGGTCTGTATTTGATATAGTGCCTTCTAGAATCCTGGAACCCACCAAGGCGCTTTGCAACGCAATCAGTCATTCACCCATTCACACACACATTCACACCCTGTGTGTTGGAAAAAAAATTTCAACATTTATTTAAACAAGCTACTACTGATTGGCAGTATCAAAAATAAATTGGTCAAACTGAAATCCTCACACGTGACACTAAAAGTGAGTCAAAATCGAGTGGACAGTACTTTTTCTGGTATTCGTCAGTGTAGAAAACTACAATCCCACAATGCTGTTCGCGTGTTTGGCTGATCCTTGCTCTCTCAACGTTTGACATCAGCTGTTCAGCCTACACATCAGCAGCAGCATCCTGCTGGGAGCCTCTCAGCCAAGCGCCAAATCGCAGCACCATGATCCTCTTATTAATCATCGCGGGTATCGGAGTGGTGACGCTGCTGGTGGTTCTATTCGCTCCACACATCCGGTGAGTAGCCGATCAGGACTGTCGTTAATTCTCATGAAAATCCCGTGTTTTTGCTCACCATGGACAGCTTGTTACTTCTGGGCTGACATGTTGTTACTCTGTTGTCTTCACGTGCGTTCACAGCCAATAGGATCTTAGAGCGCTCGTTTATTATTTCGGTGTTTATAGAAACGACTCAGACAGCCATAAAGGATTTTTTAAATAAAATGATTTGAGTTTTTGCACAAACATGAGCGGTGGAGGAGGAAGAAGGGGGGGTCTTCCACCTGAGGTGCTCGGACCAATCAGGAGCCGGAGCGTGGGAGGAGTTCTATTTGTGCGCTTTACTCCGGCGGTGCCATTGGGCACGGGGCGGAACCGGCTCGGTGGCGTGGGTCACACGACTTCACGCTCAGCACCGCTCTGACAAGTTTCTCTATGAATAATTAAGCCAGAAGCCCAAATGTTCAGTTCTAATGAGGCTTTTACTGGATGCATAACGGATCACTGGTTATTCTAATACTTACATCTTTGTGTGTTGTTCTAAATTATTACTGTGTTTCAAACAGAAGATATGCTGCTGGAAGAAAGTGCAAATCCACAGCTCGGCTGGATGGGAAGACGGTTCTGATCACTGGAGCAAACACAGGGATTGGGAAGGAGACCGCACTGGACCTGGCAATGCGAGGTGGCCTAGAATTAGGAGCCTCTGTTAAAGCAGTAGTTCACATCATTTGAAAAGGGGAAAGGTCATGAATATTGATGTTGAGAAACCTCAGTTTGGAAAAACAGATTAGTTCTCATTGAACGGATACAGTTACAAAAAACTTTGTTTACCCATTTGGAAAAGGATTTTATCCAAACTTACAGAGGACGCAGTATCAACCTAAACATGCATGTTTTTTGTTCTGTGGGAGAGAGAGTGAAATACAGGAAAAGCGTTATAGGTCCACTGAGGCTAGCAGGAGTTAAATCAAAAAATGTTGAGTATACGAAGCAGGAAAAGTGTTGGATTTTTTTCTTTGCTGCATGGCAGGGGTGCAATCAGGCCAGCCCTGCCAAAAAACGATTAAAAAGTTAAAAATTCCAACATTTGAGTGATCCGATTGGCCGATCACAAAACACATTGTTACACTTCTAAAAGGGGTTTGACGGAGAAGTCATTTGTTAAGCAGCTGTTTTATTTCTAACATCACAGGTGCCCAAGTGATAATGGCATGCCGAGACGTGGAAAAGGGCGAGGAGGCCGCTGCGAGCATACGAGCTGCGTACTCCAAAGCACAAGTGGAAGTTCGAGAGCTGGACTTGGCTGATAGCTGCTCCATACGAGCATTTGCACAGAAATTCCTGAGAGGTGTGTGCAGAGAGTCTGATGACTATATTTATGTAAAAGTTACTGCTGTTCAACCTTCTTCTGCTTTATTTAGAGGTCGACCGTCTTCACATCCTGATCAACAATGCTGGAGTGATGATGTGCCCCTATATGAAAACTATTGATGGCTTTGAGATGCACATTGGAGTCAATCATTTAGGTTAGACTCTGGGCTTCAGCTGGACCAAAACACGCCAGATTAACTAAATCTTTTGGGATTATTTGTGTTTGAAATACCCACCTTTCTCTCCCTCACAGGCCACTTCCTGTTGACATACCTCCTAATAGGGCTGCTGAAGCGCAGCGCACCAGCCCGCATTGTGGTGGTCTCCTCTCTGGCACATAACTTTGGCTGGATCCGTTTCCATGACCTTCATAGCCAGGGCAGCTACAATAGCGGTCTAGCTTACTGCCAGAGCAAACTGGCAAATGTGCTCTTTGCCAGAGAACTTTCCCGCAGACTAAAAGGTAAACAAACACTATTGCAGTAAACTTGGGTGAAAGTACAGATGACCCAGTCCAGCAAGATGGATAAAAGACAGAAAGGGAGTGGCAAACCTAAAAAAATGATGATCTATACAAATGTCAGATTTTATTCAACAGCAAGGTCACTGAGAAACTCTTCCCTTTCAGTCGATTCACTCGGTACAACGAAGGTACTTTGGGACATCCCGCCCTCGTGTGGCCTGGCTGCAGAAACCACAAATTAAAACGATCCACATTATTGGACAAAAACTATTGCTACAAATCCAGGTCACCATCAGGCCGTGATTTCATAGTCTCCTTTAGGTCCTTAAATGAGCGTAAGCCATGCTGATTATCTCTTTGTTTTTAGTTCTTTGCTTCAGCTCTGAAGACATATCTGACTTTTACTTCCAGGATCAGCCACGATGCCTCCCCAAAAAAGCTAGCTTATTTTCTTCTTGTGTTTTGTATTGATGGTCTGAAAAAGCTAACTGCTAGCCTTTTATTAGCTACTGGCGAAAAAGCTAACTGCTAGCCTTTTATTAGCTACTGGCACAGAAAATAGCTAATAGCTGTTAATCAGGTGAAGAGCGCCCCCTAGGATACCTACACGCACCACTAAACTGTTACGTGCTGTTTCTGGTCAGCAGAGTGCTGTCTTGTGTGAAGTTGGTAAACTTTAAAGGAATTGGTTAAAGTGTACAAACTGTGTTGCATTAATTTGGCCTTTAAAGGATTTTTTCTTGTTGCGTTTTTTTCTTTCTAAGGAACCAACGTGACGGTGAACTCGGTCCACCCGGGGACAGTAAACTCAGACCTGACAAGACACTCGACCCTAATGATGATTCTGTTCACCATCTTCTCCACGTTCCTGAAAACTCCTAAAGAAGGAGCACAAACCAGCGTCTACTGTGCTGTGGCAGAGGAACTGCAATCAGTTTCAGGGCAACACTTCAGGTAGGAGATAACAAACCAGAGGGAGTGAGATAAAACAGGACTTCTAAACTTTTATGTTTATGTTCCGCTAGTATTCAAATGGCATCAAACAACTGCTAAAACAGTCAATTGAAATTCTGAAGACATTCTGTCTAAATGACCTTTCAAGTGACACATGTTGGAAAATGGCAAAAAATTAAAAAGTAAGAAAGGAAATTAATGAATATTAATTCCATGTGTGAATCAATCAATCAGATTTTATTTATAAAGCGCTTTTCAAACGAAGTGCTAACTCAAAGTGCTTTACAAAATGACCCCAAATTCCCATAAATGTATCCAACAATTGAAGTCTGGCAGGCTGTTGAATTGGGATTTTGTGGAAAATGTATGAACAAATACCTGTCGTAGAACAGCCTCAGCTCGGGAAAATACAGATTGGTTCTGAAAGGACTGACTAGTCCCTGGCCGTTTCTCAATACTCAATAGCACGTTCTAGAAAGAAAGAAAGAAAACAATCTTTTATATAGCCCCTCTCAAGATAAAAATCACGAGAACAACATTTTTAAATATAAAAAATATTAAAAAGTATGGTTAAAATGAGAAAAACATGTAAAAAATGTGATTAAAAAATAAAGAAAAGGGAGAGAGAAAATGGTTAGGAAAGAAGGAAATCGGGGGATCCTGGGAAAGCCGGAATAGGTAGAAAGAGCAGAATAAGGAGAGGGTGATGAAGGTCACACCAAAGCCAGCTTGAACATGTGAGTTTTTAGCTGCTTTTTAAAGGAGACCACTGAGTCCTCTGATCTCAGGCCTAGTCCACACGTAGCCGGGTTTAAAAAAAAAAACGAATATCCGCCCCTCCAAAAACGTGCATCCACACCACCTCGTTGCAAAAAAAACTGTCCACACGTACCCGGATAAATACGTTGTTAAGGACATGCCAGACCTGTAGGTGGCAGTACTTCCCCCGTTCTTAACCTCGTCCTTCGTTTGTGGTCTTCCGCAAGGAGCAGTAATTCCGCTTGCAAAAACAAACAAGCAAAAAGCGCTTGGACAATTGATAAAGCGAGCGCAGCTCTGAGGGCTTCCATGCTGTCGGCTAGTGTAAACACAGGTCGCACACGTGATGTCAGCATTTTATTGTTGCGGAAAGTGACGTTGCGGACCTTAAAACTCTGGTTTTGTCCGTCCACACGCAGACACCCAAAATGGAGAAAACGCAGATCTTCACTTTGGCCGGAGTTTTTAAAAAGATCAGTTTTTGTGTGAAAAAACTCCGTTTTCGTGTGGATGACAGGCCAAAACGTAGAAAATATCTACGTTTTGGCAGATCCCCGGCTACGTGTGGACAGGGTCTCAGGCTCACGGAGAGAGTTCCAGAGTCTGGGGGCCACAGCAGCAAATCTGTCACCTTTGGTCTAGTGTACTAGACAAGTATGTTCTTGCCAGGACGCCAGAAAGTCCGTTCCATCGAGTATGGGAGGACGAGGACGGCATTTGGAACAGAACTGTACTCCATTGCATCACGGCAACAAGCACTGCTTGTTTCTAGCTACGGTTAAACGACCAGACATAAAGATAAAAGTCTAGTTTGTTTCTTAAATAACAAAAACGTATTATTTGTAATATATTTGCTCCACTTTTGATCAAAACTGATAAAATACCAACATTTCCTGCCGTTAAATTACTTAAAAATGTTTTATTTTTTTATCACATCAGTGCTACTCTGCTTTTATTTTGATAGTGGGTTAGCTAACTAGCATTTTGAGGAATCATTAAGAGTAAAATCCTAACATATACAGCACATTTTACAGGTTACACACAATTATTTACAATAACAATCAGCCTAATTTTTCTTCAATAGTATTTCTAATATAAAACTCTACAGTTATTAGATTTCTCCTCTGACGTCCGGAGTATATTTGTAGCGATGTAATGCATTAAGGGAAACTTTGCTGTCCCAAGTCCGCAGAAGGATGCATTGATGTGTGAAACTGGATGCAGACTGTAGGCTTGACAACCAGGTAAATGGGACTGTTAGATCTTGTTTCTTCCACCTATGCCACATAGCTGAGATCAAGCCAGTCCTGTCACATGCACAACTGGAAATTGTTTTTCTCACCTTTGTAACATCAAGACTGGATTATTGCAACTCACTGTATGCATGTGTCAGTCAGGCTGCAACCTCAAGACTTCAAACATTTCAGAAATCCACTGCAAGACTGCTGACTGGAACAAGGAAGAGAGACCATAACCACTTATGGGCCATTCCTATCTGTACCGGGTCGGCCCGGGCCGGGTAGCCCCAGTCGGGCCCAGCCTGGCCCGGTTGATTCCACACATCCTTGTCTTAAGCCCATGTGGGCTGATTCTATCCACCAATCAGAGGCTTGCTCTAATGAAAGGTGTGAATTTGCTGTCAGCAGTGGGTGTGTTGGTCCTGGTCGGCCTGAAGCAGACCCGCTCGAGAAGAGGGCTGAGAATGAGCCTTGGTTGGCCCGGAAAAATACCAGGCCACCCAGATATGTAAACAACCTACGCTACCCGGCCCGGGCCGACCCGGTACAGATGGGAATGGCCCATTAGTATCTGTACGGTCTGGGGAGGATGGCGTCAGTTCGGTCTCGAACAGGTGGTGTAGTGTTGACATATAAATTCGAAGGACTGATTCTACTCGCCAATCGGAGGCGGTAGGCGTAATTTCAGCCGGCCAATCAGTTCGTAGTGTTACCTCGGTCCTAGTCGGACCGCTGGGGAGCAGGACTGGAAAAAAAGAGTCACCTCGGACTGGAAAACAAATATCTGACCCATGTGTTAAACCAAATTCTGGTTCCATACCGGTCCGTACCCGGCCGCGCCGACGCTAATGTGCAAGCGCCACATATTACTCCCATCTTTGCCTCCCTTCATTGGCCCCTGTTACATACAGAATTAGCTTAGAAATCCTGCTACTTGTTTTCAAGACACAGAAGAGTACAGCACCTCAATACAGGCCTTGAAATTGATGTGTGTGGGTAATGGAGTCAGAACTAATCTGTTTCTCCAAACCGAGGTTGTTCAAAGAGTAAAGACATAAATTCTTCATAACCCAAGATCTGGACTATCCCTTTGGTGATAAAATGAATTAGATTGTTGCAAATGAAGTAATGACTAACAGCTATCCTCCTCCTCTTCCTCTTCAGCGACTGCACTCCTGCCTTTGTAGCTCCTCAGGGGAGGAGTGTGGAGACGGCGAGGAGACTGTGGGATGCTAGCTGTGAGCAGCTCGGTCTCGAGTGGGACTGATAAATCCATCAGCAGTTTCTATTTTCCTAACATTTCCGTTCTCAACCCTTTCATTTTGCTTTGGACGTTCCGTACTTTGAACATTTCTTATGTGATAAGAATCAGGTACATTCTGTTTGTGGTAAAACAATGTGAAGGTTTTCATTTGTAAAATAATTCTAATCTAATTATTTGGGTAATTTGGTGCTCTGCAACACTTCCTCAAGCCAGGACAGTCCCGTTGTAGGATTACATCAACTCAAGACACATTTATGACTTTATTTTGTGACGTAATGTGAATACAGTGTAGGCAAAAAAGAAAATGCAACCTAATATGTTGCAAACCAGCATCATTTTTCCACATATATCCTGTTTTCTCTCAATATAGCACTTATATTGCTAGTTTGTTGCCAGCATTTCTAAGATAGATGGTAGTTTTAAGGGTTTTAAAAATCCATTAGATTATTAACTAGCAAATGAGCCACATTTAAAAATGACCTTATATATAAATGTATTTTGTGATAAGTGCAATAGCCATTGTAAAAGATAAAATTACAATGTCTCCCTATTTTATCAGAACTAGTCATGATACTGCAGAAACCTTAATTCCCATTTGTGTTGGAACAATCTAGAAATCTGGTTTTCCATTTTTAACTTTCTTTTCCTTTCCAGGATTCATGAACAGCTGCCAAGAGTTTACATTGTGAGTTTTATACAAGTCAGACATGCCTTTTACTCAACTTAAATTCATGTTAAGAGTTGAATGTTTACATTTTACGTAAATAAACCGAATAATCACAATGCGTGTGCGTGCATGAATGTAGGATTCTGGATCAGCTGAAGACTTTTGAGGATATTCTTTGGATACAGAACTAAAACTGCAATTAATCTGCAAGTTACATGCACCAATAAAATGCTCCTGATGTTCTTAGATACACATTTAAAGTAAAAATTAGTATTAAATCATAATCAAGGCATCAAAAGTTAGTTTTTGGTTGGAAAATCGGTGTGAGTGTTTAAGGGAGAAGATCAATAACTTAAGATATATCAGGATTTACAGTTGTGCAAATAAGTTTACACACCCTGGTTGAATTTTTGGCAATTTATCAAAGAATATGAAAGAAAACGCAGAAAACTTTTCCCCCACTCATGGTCAGTGATGTTGTGACAGCATTTATTGCGCTAAGAAATGTGTGAAGTAATTTTAAAATCACTATAACAAAACAAAATACCAAAACGTAAAGGGAACGCGATTTAGAACAGATCTCAGGTGAGGTGGTTACCTTTCTGTAAATTTATTGGCACATCTGTAGGTGTAAAGAGTTATTGGTCACATGGCTTGCTCTTCAACAAATTCCAATTCAAACACTTCAAGGCACGTTTTTAAGATTTTACAGCACATGAACATGTGCCCAAACTAATCAACTGCCTTGTCCAAAAGGAAAAGCTAATTACAGTTAGTTTCAAGCACTTTTTTAGGAATTCAAGCACTTTCAAAACACTAAACCCCCCCCAGCCCCCCCCCCCCCCCCCCACACACACACACACACACACAAAATCCAAGTTTCTCATTGAGTCCAGAAACCATGCCTATAGGCCTAATGTCCTCAAGACGAGACACTAATCTGAGTATTACATCTAGTTTAATTGATAGAGAATGGTGTCGTCAGCAAACAGTGAAAACGAGTGCTACTTACAGTGATACTTGACCTGGATAGAAATCTGAAACTGGATTTTCGTAATATTTATTGTTTCCATTTATTTTTTTTAATGACAGACAATTGAAAATAATTAACAATTTCTTCAAGTATAAAGTGCGGCAGTGATGTGTCTCAACAGTCAAAGGTAAGAAGAATTAGAAAGCATCAGAGAAACAAGGTGAAGCAATGACAGCATCTCCTCAGAGTAAAAACACGATTCTCCACCACGTAATTAAACTCACAGCCCCAAAATAAACACCTACAGGCATATTTAACACTGGGTGTTTGTTGAATGTTTCGGGATCGGTTACTTTTTGTTCTCTGATAGTCAGAGGTTTAGTTCCAGACAGATGCTGGCAATGTTGCCCACAAAGAAAAACACAAAACAGTAAAGTTTCTGGGATAAACCTTCTAGACATAAACTAGATCCCTTTCTGCATCCATCCTGACAGGAAATGGCTTCAGCAACATCAGAAAATGTCCTTCAATAATTTAAATGATTTGATAAGTAATAAAAAACAAAACTGTAAATCGTCCACAGTGTGTTCTGGGTAGGTGAACGATTGGGAACAAGAAAATTATTTTTCAGTTTTTGTCAAATGTAACGTAATTGGGAATTTTGTTATAAAATAAACAAGTCAGTTAAACTTTTTTTCCCTTTAGGCTGAGGTAGGAGATGATAAACTATTACAAAACGTGTGAATTCCTGTCATTACCTCACATCAGAAATCACACAGATGTCAAATAAAGTTCAGAGAAGTGGTCAAGAGCACAGTGGTGATTCACAGCGTTACACCGGACAGGAAGGCTGAGAGGTTCGGTTCTTAACACGCTTCCCATCAAACCATTTTACTACAATTCTGATCTGGGGTCTAGTCAGAGCAGAAATGAAACTGTTTTCATGGAAAACTAATGGGAAAACAAGGTTAGAATCAGATGAATTCATGATGTAAACTTTTATGAGCCTTTTATAGCTTCCTTCTTTGGTAACAGGGGGATCTCACAGTAAAGTTAGGCTACTGGTCTTCAAGAGATACAAACTAGTCAGCGAGCTCAAGTCTAATAAACCCCTAGAAGTTCAGTCTGAAGGTCATTTGCATATTAAACAATTCAAGTTTCTAAAGTTAATCCGACAAACTTCTGTAACACAAAATCACAACTTCTTAACTTTCTGATTCCTAAAGACTAAACGGCTGCTAGTAAAGTGTGGGTTAATTGTCACCACGTGGGCGTGTCTAATGATTTATTTAGTGATTATGACTTATTTGTCAGATTTGAACAAACGGATTAATGTAAAAAGTGCCGCTTGTGCCTCTCTTTTCCCAAAAGTCCCTGTGAGTGTCCGTGTAAACGCTCCTTTGTGGTAACAACCACACCTTCACCTGGCCTTGGGCCGGGCCTGGCGCTGCACAGATGTTTTGTTGTGCTCAGAGAGCCACTGGCGACAGATGTTCTGCATCACCGAGTCGTGTGCTTCCTCAGCTGCTTGGAGGACGTCCCGGACCAACGGGCCCGCTCGGCCCGACTCCAGCTTTACTGCCAACAGGTAGGCTGGCCTCAGCTTCCCGCAGACCAGGTAAGCTTCGATCTACACAAATGCAAATGAAGCCACCAAAAATCAGGTTTGAGGAAACTTTACCAACAGTTGTTGCTTTCATTTGTGAACACATTTCTTTTGCAAACGTTTCGTCAAATGAAAACTGGGAAGAAATAAAGAAAACGCAGAGAGAAGGATAACTTTACCTTCGTTTCTGTGGTTTTTATCTCCAGAATGAGACTTTCCAGTTCTTTGGCCTAAAAATAAAAATAAAAAACAATGAAAGAGCCCAGATGGACATGCCATACTTGAGTTTTTAAAACTCTTCTGCTACCTACATCAGTTGGCCCCTTATCTGCAACTTTGACACAGTTGAGGATGAGGGAATCACAGTCGTTCTTGGTGGCCGTACCAGATTCGCCCACACATTTGAGCAGCTGCCGCACAGCTCCATACTGCCTCTGCCGGACAAGCCTGTGGCCGGCTCGGACGTAGACGGCCTGGGCCTCCAGCTGGAAGTCCTACAGGAACCACACATACAATCAAGATGATTACAAGAGTAAATGATATACAGTTCAGTCTGTTTTGCCTTCACTAGTGGACAGAAGTTAACATTTTAGTTTATTTGCTGCTTTAATTTCACAACTCACACATGCTCCATACATACCTGTATGACTCTGTAGGCAATACCAAACCCTTCCTCTATGTTCTTCCCTCCAAGCATCACCTGAAACATTAAAAGTAACAGAAAAACAGCTGACCCCCATCGTAGACAACAGATAATTCAAAGAGTGCATCTTTTTTCCAGCTTGTTTAAACTCTTCACCTTGCAGGCAACCTCGATCTTCACAGGACTACCACCAAACAGTGTCGGCAGTGAGGTGGACCCAGAGGACAGCGTGCTAGTCTTCGAGGATTTGGAGGAGGCGCTCTCACAGCGATGCAGGAAACGAGTCACCTCCAGCTGCAGTTCGATTGTATTCATGTGTCTAATAAAACGGAGACGTTAATGCTTCCAGAACAGGAGCTAAAGTGGAACACGTCTATTTCATCGACATAAATAACCTGGACACATCACTGGATGACATCATCTTCCTGAATGTGTTGCCCATCGACTTTTTCCTCCCAGAACCTCGACCTTGCTGCTCCTGCAGGTACGTCCTCAGGTGCTCTTTAGCTCTGACCAGCCAGCGCTGCAGGAAGTCAACGTTCCCATCAGAGTCATAAACGACGTTCTAAATTGAGAGTGTTTGAGATGTGATGTACCTGCTGCTCTCCCAGCTGTAGGTATGAACTTGCTCCGTGTGTAAAGAACCGTATGCAGGTCATGGCGGCGCGTACGTGATCCTGTCCAGGAAAACAGGAAGTATACAAAACACAGGTGGTACTCACACTAATATGTCTGAAAAGTAAAGCCAAAGCTCAACCAGCATCACCGGAAGGCGACAACTGCTCTGTCTAAACTCCAACATAAGCTAAACAAATCGGTTAACTATTCATTTGCATGGGAAACATTGGATGGGTTTGCCCTTGAGCCCTGGTTTGATATTTGTTTTCATTAAAGAGAAAAAATTCCGGTTCCAGTCAAAGTCAGAACCAGAACCTCCAGATTCCACTGCTGTAACCTCAGCACCGCCTCTTTGTTGAATTGGAACAAAGGAAACAATGATGATTCAAAGTGTTATGAATGTCATATTTAAAAGTTACACTGCAGTTTTAGCCTGCATGGTTCAAGGCCAAATTTGATAAATCCTGCATGAAATGTGGTTTAGTAACCATAAATCAACCAGAGATCAATAAACAGCGTTCACAGTCTAATGATGTTAAAGTAGGCAATATGACTTTTAAAAAAGTTATAATAGTCCTATGATCTATACAAAATATGTTGTCAAATTTCTTTGCATAAACTCCCTCTCATATAAAGTGATTTCAGCCTTTTTATTCTTGAGTTTCAGTACCTTCCAGAATGAGCCATTTCAGGGCTCTGTAACTTTAAGAAATAAGATGGAGCTGGTCACGCCCACCCATCCCCTGATTGGCTGCTGTAGGATTAGAAGCTCTGGTATCCAGGAGGGCTTTTCTGCTCCTCCAACAGCAGCTCTCTCTTGCGTGTAAGCGATGGTTCTATGCTAATTTCACCCTTAGTGACATCACAAATGGACTTTTTTTAATTGTCTTGTTTTAGGCACATAAGCTGGTTTGGCAGAGTAACTCGGACCAGTGCAGCTCAGCCTGACCACTGTTTCCAAGAGCACAGTTCAGTATTTCCCCTCTAAGTTTCCCAATTTTTAGTCCCTGCCCCATTGAGGATCCTGGCAAGGCTGAGTTGGGCCAGCATTGCAACTGTGGCCTCTAATTTGGCTAGAAGGTGGAGTCACTGGTTGCTTTGGAGTTTTCTGCCTGCTGCTTCACTGCCTGTAACCATTTCCTGGTTCAGAGTCTGACAAAAAGCCAAAAAAATAAGCAAAATATTTTGTGTATTCATTCTGTATGTTTCATCTGATTGAACCAAAAATCAACCAAATAAAGCAAAATGTCCAGCAACACCACAACTTTTCTGCCGAGTTGTGTTTCTGTGTAACATACAGATCTCCTTACACTGTTTACTGATCACCTCATGCTATTTTTGTCACGGAGCTGGCAGCGAAACACAACTACACTCAGATGGGCTGAATTAATCCACGCTGTACAGAACTGTTTTAGGCTGAGTAGAGCCCTTCAAAAACTAGCTATAGCTCCTAAAATCAAATGCTAACAGAAAATGGATGGACTGTTTTTTTAGAGGTGCTGAAAAAAAATCGATTCAAGTCTGAATCGGGATTCTAATTTATAAAGATTCAGAATCGATTCCAAGAACTCAAATATTTGGCATGAGATGCACTTTTTTGATCTTTGTTAGGAGAGTCAGTACTCTGTTTACTTTTGTGGTCCCATGAATTGAGATGATTTATGTTTGAATCTGCTGATAAGAGGGCACAGGAATGTAATTTTTTCCATACTCAGAAATTTGAGATATTCTCATATTTATTTTCCAAGTTGATAAATGAGTACTCAGGATTACTCATGTAACTTGTTTCTACACATACTTGAAAAGTATTTGACCGTATTACTTTCAAAGCTACCGTTAGGTAACTACAGATTTGTTATATTTTACAAGGTAAGCAAAAATAAATGTTGCCTTTTGGTCAAAAGATTGTTTCTGTTTACAGTTTTAGAATCACCTTATTTTACATGTAAATTTGCATTTTTGGAGCATGACCAGTTTAAAGTCAAATAAAAATGTCCCATAGCTTTAACTAACTTGTACAACAAAGTAGTTAATCCTGGAGCTGACACTCTTCGTTAATCCTGATTGTGAATCAATTTAAATTGAGAATCGAGAATCGATTCTGAACCGAATCGGCACCCCAAGAATCGGAATCGAATCAAATCGTGAGTTGCTCCAAGATTCACATCCCTAGTTTTTTTTTATGTTTGACTTGTTTATAGAGACGGTACTAGAGACTCACATGGCAACAAAAAAGGTTACAAAAGGTGAGTTTTGCATAACGTGTGCTCTTAAAGACGAGACAAACCCTGGATGTAGATTCACCGTCTCTTTGAGAAGATCAAGCATTTACTGAAAGAGGTTTTAAATGACGTAAAGACATTCACCTGGTCTGGAAAACCAAAGTGGTTCTTAATGGGTTTAGTTAGGGGGACTAGTTAAAAGGCAGCTGTGTTCTGGCACTGGGATCTCTGCTGGAAAGATTAGAAATGAATGGACATTCTCCTGAAAGCTTCTAATAAAAAAAAAACAAACACCAGAACAGACTCTACCATCATGAACTGCTGCAGCTGGTACAGACAGTGGTAGAGTCCTCGTCTCTGTAGGAACTGGCAGGAAGCAATGAGGTAGCGGCTGCACCTGTCCAGGCTGGGATCCAGTTTTTCTATTATGCCCCGCAGCTTGCTGAAAAGACCTCGCTCCAGACTGGGCTGCAACACCCCATCTAGAAACGCCTCATCTGAGCAATCCTGAGTGGTAAAATAGCCAAATACAACAAAACTGTCACTGTTTAGGAAAGATGCACTAATCTTAAAAAAAAAAAAAGAAGGTACTTCGTTAACAAGATAGGATTGGTTGACGTGACTCATCTCAGAATGTCATTACTGTAAATCCAACAGACTCACTTTGCTCAGAAGGAATATCAGAGCCTCTTTCATACAGTCGTGACGCATATAGAAACTGATGAGAGCCAGGTGAGTGCCGTATGTCTGTAGATAGTAGAGACACTCCTGGTGAAGGGCGCTGCTCTGAATCGGTCCCTCTTGTCGCTCTGCAGGACCAACCTCGGACAGAGCATCCTCCAGCTGACGAAGGGATGCTAATATGTCTTCACCGTGAGACTGACACACAGAAGGAATTACAGATTTATGTAAACAAGAATAGAAAAATTGCTTGTGAATCTTTTTTTCTCCATTGAAAATCTTTTATTGTTTTATTTTTACAGTAAGAGCAGAAAAAAGTGAAAAGCTGTGCAATTATTAAAATGTGGCTTTCAATTTCAGCTCCAAACAATAACAAAAATAATGTAATACACGAAAAACTATTATTAAAATAATTTAACCCTTTAGGATCCAAATCCTTTTGAATTAGAAAACAGATTAGAATAAATACATTAAAATGTAGAAAAATATAAATAAAATAAAGAAGTAGAATAATTTTCAGTATATGTATGGATAGAATTCTGCAGATGTTTGAATCAGGTTGTGACACCAGTGTCGCCACACTGAGGGTTATTCACAAAACCAAGGAGTTCAACACTTTAAGCTATTGCTATCATATTGGTTTCAGTCATTCTTGAGGGAGAAACCAGAGCAACTACACACTGGACAGCACTCTGTAGCCCTCTGCTAACCAGAAGCTGGACTCAATAGTTTTGTGGTTCAGAAAGGTACACTAGTGGGAGGTCTCTACGTGCTTTACGGCATGAACTTGAAACCGTTCTTCACACCTTCATCTCCTCACGCTTAGACTACTGTAACTCTCTTTTCACGTGTCTGAGCAGAACCTCCCTGAACCGTCTACAGGTGGTTCAGAATGCCTGTGCTCGGCTTCTGACCAAGTCCTCCAAACACACCCACATCACCCCGCTTCTCCTCCAGCTTCACTGGCTGCCAGTCAACTTCAGGGTTCATTTCAAGATCCTGGTTCTGGTTCTATAGGGCCTTACATGGACAAGCACCATCTTACATTGGTGATCTTCTTAGTCCCTACACCCCCAGCAGGTCCCTGAGGTCCAGTGATCAAAGCCTACTGGTTGTGCAGCACCAGGCTAAAGGTGACAGATCATTTGCTGCTGTGGCCCCCAGACTCTGGACCTCTTCCCCTGAGCCTGAGATCAGTGGACTCAGTGGTCTCCTTTAAAAAGCAGCTGAAGACTCACTTGTTCAAGCTGGCTTTGGTGTGACCTTCTTCACCCTCTCCTTGTTCTGCTCTCCCCACCTATTCCACCTTCCTCAGGATCCACTGATTTCCCTCTTTACATTTTTAATCACAATTGTCTATTTTTTGCTCATTTTAAATATATTTCTAATCATTTTCTAAATTCTTTTTTATATTTTACATTTTTGTTTTTGTGAAGCGCCTCGTGATTTTTATCTTGAGAGGCGCTATAGAAAAGATCTTCTTCTTCTTTAGCTTTTACAGCGCTAAAACCAGAGTGACACACTTGGTTGGAGGAGCTGAAGGAGGCTACAAAACTAAGGACCAACTGTGACCAGGCTTTATTGCTACTGGACTTGTAAGTAAGAATATTTTTGTAGATTCTTTGATTATGTAGCTTTATTAGTATCAGTTGGCTCATGTTACCACTAGCTGGTTGTTAGCGCTAGCTACAGCAGGCTGTGGCAGGTTCGTTTACGACAGTTCTGCTTTCAACCAGTAGGGGGAGAAGCGGGGAAACGTGTCAAGTGTTGATTTAACTGTGGTCTTTATTATGAACGAATGCCTTCTACTAATACTACTAAACTTTATTTATATAGCGCCTTCGCATGGCCCAAGGACCAAACAAAGCGCTGCACAACAGAAACGATCATAAAGAAATAAAAACATATAAAACCATTTAAAAAACAACAAAAACATGTAGATAAAATCTAGATGGGGGCAAAAAGTGCAAAGCCACCCATTAACGAGACTCCTCTTGACTAAAAGCCAAAGAATAAAAGTGTGTTTTCAGACGGCTCTTAAAATTGCTGAGCATGGTGGCCTTTTGATGCAAATCTTTTTCTGTGGGGAGAAAAAGCTCTAGCGCTCCCGTTTCTTGGGGTAAAAGTCTGTTGGACCAATGAGGGGCATTGCTGATTAACAGCAACACAACTTCAGCGCTGCTTTCATTAACAAAATGCAGAATACTGTAAAATATATATTCAGGGTTCTGCCATGTAGTGGAGCTGCTAAATGCTAATGGTTAGCTTCTACTAGCTGAGATGTGCTCTGCTCTCTCCTGGCTGCTAAAACAACAAAACCTTTTGTGGTCGTGAGCCAAGGTGGGCGGGGCTGTGAATACTAATGTTCCCTTTGTTGTAGAACAGACTGGCGTTATCGGACCGGATCGTTTTCCCATCCATTTGTCTTTTGTTGGCTAATGCAGGAAATAGTTTGAAAACCATTTTCCTGTTCCACATGTATATGGAATTCAGAGATGATCGCATTTCAAAAATAATTTCTATTATAAGAATTATTATATGGTTCCTCATTGAAAACGACCTTTAATCAAAAAAGGCTCAAACGAACATTTGCTGCTTCAGCATGCACTTCCTGCGTTTTCCTACCGTGGCCTGAGTGGGCTGTGCAGTGGTCTCCAGGTGTTGGACAACTTCCTGCAGCAAAGGGGGGCCGAGGTTGGGCTGGTTTCGGTCCACTGGAGCCTTCAAGCAGCGAGCAAACTTCTCTCTTGCTTCTGACAGATATCCACCCTTCAGAGAAGCCAGCGCCCATGCCTGCCACACCCCGCTGGGGTCCAGGCCGCTCTTTGTTGACACCTGACAACAGCCACAAACAATCACAGAAAAATCATCATTTGTGGGATTCAACTTTATATTAAAATCAACCAATCTAAACCAAAAAGCCTCACCTCTACTGCTAGCTTGTAGTGTTCTGCTTCCAACAGCTGATTGCGGAGACGCGTGACCGCTGATGTCTCCAGGATGTCATCCAAACAAGGAATGTATTTATAATTAGCTGTCACAAGAATCTTCAGCAGGTCCACTTTACTGATGTAACTGGGGGAAAAAGTCAAAGAAGCAAAGGAGTAGAAACTGAATAAATGTGTTATTAAAGAACCGATGCCACATTGCTCCAAACCAAGTAGAAGTCATTATGATTTAGTAATTGATACAAAGTGCTGGCGAATTTTAATTATTTATTTGCTATTTGTTTACCATTTAATGACTGTACTAAACTTGAGAAGCACAGCTTCAATTGCAATAAAAAGCAAGTTATGTACAAGTTAAAGGGAAGTCTGAGACGGCACAGACTGCCCCCACGCCCCCTGTTGTAAAAAGGACATGATTCAGCCACACTGCCGTCACGGTCTGACCTCTAATGAACTTCCTGTTAAAAGAGAGTTTTCCTCTCCACTGTCGCTACATGCTTGCTTGGTATGAGGATTGCTTTAAAGTCACCGTCACAAGTTGTACAAGATGCAATCTGCTGGATTCCTTATATAGAAAACTTAACTAGCAAAATGAACTGACCTCAAGTGGAATTATTTACTTCATGAATTCATGTCGTGATTTGGTGCTAAATAAATAAACGGAATTGAATTGACCTAGATGCCGACTCAGCTTTGCAGCAAATTGGCGAGATTGTTTTACAAACGCAGCGAGAGCGAGAGACTTCAGAACGATGCTTATCTTAAGCACCATTGAGTAATTAGCTTCCTACCTTCTCTAACAGCATAACAAAATCCGCCACAGCTTTTAAATGCTTTCCGCCACATGTCCAGTCCCTCCTGACAGAAGAGGATAGCTAACCTGTCACATAAGGCCAGGTCCTGGCTGTGACCGACTCTCACAAACATCAGTTTGGCACTGAACAGCAGCTGCTGCATGATGTCTGTCAGGAGGCAGGCGTCCACCTCTGGGTTGGTCAGTTTACAGGACAGGGAGCGGCAGTGGCTGATGAGCTGGTGCCCGCAGGCAGCTTGGTCGCTGTGCAGAGACAAAATGGCCACGCAGAGGTAGGCACTGGGGGCCTAGCGAAATCAGCAAAACACAATCGTTGATGTTAAAATGCTGAGTGAGTTACTAAAACTTACAATCACAGCTGAAACATCATCGCTAACGGACTAAGGCCACATTCAGAGCCCATTCATAGGTAGGATTACACAGTAGTTATAACAAATTCAATGTCTAACAATGAATGATGCGATAAACTGTGTGTTCCACTATGAAACCCAAATATAGGAGTAAGAAACACAAGTAAGATCTGGGTTCCTGTTTCAGACACACAAACCTGTTCATAGTAGAACTCGCTCCGCTGCTGCTGGTTCTCCCGTGGGTCAGTGCTGAGCTGGAACTGTCGATGGAACGCTTCAGGCAGGTGCAGCCTCCCATCCAGACATTCCTGTGTGACCACGGGGCTTCCAATCACTGCATGCGTACACACACACACACACACACACACACACACACACACACACACACACACACACACACACACACACACACACACACACACACACACACACACACACACACACACACAGGTAAAGTATCTGCAAATAGCCCACAGGAGCTCTGATTCACTGTGTATCTGCCAGAAACGTAGATGTTTCATTCTGGTTTCATGAATGTGTTCTGAAACAGTCACACAGCAAACAGGAAGCTATCAAAAGAACAACATCTGCTGAATGTGGTTTAGATTTACCTTCGGCTGAGTCAGATTCCGTATCGGAGCTGCAAAGGAAAATGAAAACATTTCTTTAAGATCAGTTTCCCTTTTCCGTGGTTCACACCACTTCACTGTGTGTGATTTATGAACTACAACACACTGCAGTGGTTTCAAACATTATTAAAGCCCAGATCACACTGCGCGATTTTCGGCCATTGCCCAGGATTGTTCATGTCACACTGTGATAACTCCAGAGAGGCGTCGCACTGTACGGCGCAAGTTTTCAGTGAGGCAGACTGCACAACGTCTCTTCAGCAGGACACGCTACATCATGAGCGCTCCTCCAAAAGCATACATCACGAGACCTCTAACCAAAACAAAGCTGAATAGATAAAAACACTTATTTCTAGTGTCAGTTTCTGACCCAGCCCATCTTCCCCAAAGAGAATAGTTTGTTTTTAAAACCCTCGCTTTGCGGGTCTCCTTTCCCATCTTCCAGCCAAACAGCTGATCTGTCTGCTGGACATCCATCCTTCTCATCCTTTATACATAAGAACTAAACTACAGAGGAGTAATCTGTCACAGATCGCTGCAACAGCTAAACCTTTGCCGTGAATTCTGCCTCACTGCTCCGCAGCTCCGCTCCGCGTGACAGCTCACACCCGCTGTCACGGAGCATCCTCTGTCCCCGCAGCAAAACGCTACTGGCCCATCCTTATCGGTTGAATTTGTGAAATTTCCACCAACAGCAAAGGAATCTCGTATTTTTGTGTTTTATTTTTCATGTTGGTGAGCTCATCTCCTCTCAGCTCTCACAGATCACAGAATCACGGTTTTCACAATTTAGCTGATGGTCTAAAAAATAGTTTTATTAAATGGTAAATGGCCTGTATTTGATACAGCGCCTTCTAGAGTCCTGGACCCCCCCCAAGGCGCTTTACAACACAATCAGTCATTCACCCATTCACACACACATTCACACACTGGTGGGAGTGAGCTACGATGTAGCCACAGCTGCCCTGGGGCGCACTGACAAGAGGCGAGGCTGCCGAGCACTGGCGCCACCGGTCCCTCCGACCACCACCAGCAGGCAACGTGGGTTAAGTGTCTTGCCCAAGGGCACAACGGCAGCGACAGACTGAGCAGGGCTCGAACCTGCAACCTTCAGATTACAGGGCGAGCACTAAACTCCTGTGCCACCGTCGCCCACTAATTATTTTAGTAAAACTTCGGTTTAACTTGGGCTATTAACAGAAATAAAAAATGGTGGGTAGTTTATAATCCGCATTTTAAACATAAATTGAAACTGAAGCTCAGAGAGGCGGAGTCTTGCTGCTGGAGCATCCCAAAGATGTGTTTTCATTGGTCGGTTGCAGACAGGAGTCGCTGATTTTCGAGCGTGCTTGTAGCCTGTAGGAAGCTGATTTAGGTCATGGAACGACTCAAAAAGCAGAGCCGGTAAGACTGGACAACCACAGATTTGCAAATCACCCTCACGTTCACTGTTTTTTTTAACGATTAGGCTCACTACGAGGGATCTAGCTAAGACACACACACAGGTTCACACAGTGTGATCCGGGCTTCAGACAACCAGACCTCTAACACAGAGAATCCCTTCGCCAAACAAAACCCCCTCTTACTCCGAGTGAAAGTAGGCGTAACACTGATCACAGACTCGGACTTCCTCTTCAGGACACTCATCAACAGGCATCTTCCGCTCTGAGCACGCGTTGCAAACAAGACGGCCGCATCTGCGACAGTGATGCCTCCTGTTGAACTGAGAACAGATGCTTTTTTTTAAACATTTGAGCTAGCTCCTCCGCCGTTTACCTCCATACAGTCTGTGAGTTTTAACCGTTTCAGTTTGCACACCTACCAAATCAAATGACATCCTTTTACACCAAGACCCAACTTGGGTCCCTTTTAAATCCTTGTTGTTCATTATGTATGTTATATATTGTTTAGTTCACTAACCATAGTGAACCTCTCTCGCCGGCAGACCATGCACACATCATGCTGGGTGTCGGGAACCCAGTCCTTACGGGCCGGGGGTTGATCAGGAGGCTGGAACTTGGCGGATGAGCGGCGCCGTCGATCCCTCTCCCTATCCGAGATGTTTCCAGAGTGTGTGGGGGTGCTGTCTGTAGTCCAGCACACGAAAGGGAGCATTAGATTCATTTCAAATGAAACAGATCAAAGGTGATCACTCTTAGCATGTCTCACTTGTGGAGGAGGCGGGAGATTCGTTTCTGCTGGTGGACTGAGAGCTGCTCTCCTGAGCAGGACACTGCAGCAGTGCATCCTGGAGGCTAATTACAGAGTCTGGAAGCAAAGAGATGCATGTTGAAGACCGCTGTGAACTACCAACAGGCTCATATCCTGGCAGCTTGTGTGCTGTGGACTGACCAGAGCGGGTCTTCTCTCTGGGAGCACAGGAGAAGTCAAGGGCCTTGCAGGCGTAGTCTGCCAGAAGCTTATCTATGTCCTCAGCACCAAAGCCAGCCTCCTGGCCAAGCAGCAGGCTTCTGAGTGTTTGCACTGCCACCTCTGCCCACTCCACCTTCAGGTTCATCAACAGCTGCTCAAGCATCAGCATGGGGTCTGACAGCAGGGGGAAATAGTCCTGCCTGGCAGCTGGGGGCAGAGTCAGCAGCACCTGCAGATGGATGTAAATACACAAAAACCTAGCTGAGGAGGCGGAAAGGACTAAATCACACGTTTAAGAACTTAAGAGTTCAGGTACAGAACATTCAGCTTTGGCTCACCACAATCCTCCCGACAGGAAGAGTGCGCCGTTTCCCTCACAGTAAAGAAGTTCATGCTTACGGCAACAAGACAAACCTTTGAGCCCAGATGAAGAGCTTGAATGCGTCTCCGACGCGTTGGAGACACCTGCCTCTGGAAATGCAAGGTGAGGTAGTCAGACAGGAAATGACACGCAGACAATCCTGGGCGGCGATCCAGAGCGCGCTCACAAATATCCAGTCCAACCACAAAATTAGAGATGCCTTCAAGTAGCTATAAGAGAAACAAATGCCTGTTTCATTTGGGGTTCAACTAAAAATGCTGAAAAATGTCTTTTTAACATAATTAAAAGGATGTTTTGGCCATTCTGAATCCTGATTTACTACAAAAGCTATTTTGCACGTTGTAAATAATTTTCTGATCAGCCTCAATTTGGAGAAATAGAGTTTACTTCCTTCAGGACTGATAAACTAACAGCTAGTACAAATGCAGCAAAAACTAAAGTGTGCTGCTGCCGTTCTGAGCTCCAGTCCTCAAACCTTGGCGTGATTCAGGCCGTCTCATTTTATAAACCAGTTTGACATTATGAGGTTGTTTACATGCGTAACTATCAGCAGCATTTTGTCTCATTTCCAGTCCAAACAGGGCTCATGTCTGGCAGGAACCTCGTAAGAAACAAGTGTAAATGCTTATAAAACAAAATAAACATGACCAGATACAAACCAGGGGGATTTAACCTGTTTTAAATGGCCAAAATGCTATTTATTATTAGCCTCGTGCAGACTAGCAGTTAGCTTATCAGTCCTGGTGGAGGTAAACAATTTTTCCAACTGAAGTTGTTCAGGAGGCCATCTACAACGGGTAAATTGGTAATTATTGGCAACATTTCCATAGAAACACACTTCAGGACGGCTGAAGTGTTGCTTTCAGACCTGAAAAGCCTCGTCCGTCTGTCCCTTTTCCAGCAGATGCAGCAAATGTTCGGTCTGCAGCTGCAGCTTCAGCTGGTCAGAAACAGGATAGAGCTCCACCCACTCATCACAAAGAGAAAACTCCTGCAAAAACAAAAAGTCATTACTTTAAAAACTCTAAAAGACTTAACTGGTTTGACACTAAAGAGCTTTTTTTAATGGTGCAAGCTCCTTTAGTGAACAGATGCAAATATTCTGTACCCACTTTTGTTTCCATAATCAGAGACAAGATGGACTCTGGGTTTGTTTTGGATTCGGTTCTCAGCTCCTGCCAGGTGGCCCAAGGCAAGGGTGGCTGTAAATTCATCATCTGTGCCAAGATAACATAAGGTAAACACTAGTCAGGTCACATTGAAATGACAAATTAGGTAACTGAAGACCATCTTATTTCAAGCTCTAAAAACATGTGTGGCATGCTGAACTACAGTAACCTCCCCCCAGATGCAGAACAACAACTGTATGCGACCCAGCTTGTCAATAAGTTGCACAATCATTTAGTAAACAAGGTCCTCTAAACAGGAGCGACATAAAAAATATGGTTTTAACTTCGGCTTACCCGGCGGTAGATGCTCAATTCTTTCATTTTGAGCTCCAGTTGTGTTTTCAGCGAGGTTTCTGTGCTGGGGTCATTCAGGCAGAACTCCATCAGCTTCATGGAGGCCGACAGAGGCCACCGCTCCAGAGCCTGAAGGGCAACTCGGGCTCGGAGGTTAGCGTCCTGCACTCGGAACAGCTGACTCGGGTCCTCAGCGCTGTCTGGGAACAGACAACATCTCTGTCAAATCTGCAAAATCGCTCACAATTTAATATTTTCATGCTGCGTAATATTAATAAATACTTCATATTAACAATTAGCAAATATGTGTTTAGCAGAAGCTTAGAAATGATAGTAGACTAAACTAGTGAGAACTGTTTAATATTTGACATTTTTAATGACTGTATGGTTATGTAGGCACACTGTGCTGCATATACCACAGGTCCTACAGTCAACAACCAGCTCAAACGCAATAAGCAGCTCATTTGTCACCTTCCAAAGCAGCACAGGCTAGTAAGCGGTCTCTTAGCGCCCCCTCCTGGCTGCTGCCTTGCCCGTACAGCTCCAGCAGCCTGAGGGCTCGACCCAGGTCTTTGGAGGCGAGAGCGTTCTGAAAGGCCTCAGCAGCCAAAGCCTGAGACGTCTCTTCCTGAGGTCCAGAAAGGAGGAGGCTGACCAGTGGTTTTCCACAGAGGAGTGCACCAAGTCCTGCAGATCCGTCCTCCCCCTCAGTTAAGGAGGTGCCGAGAACCGGTTCTGCCATGGTGTAAAGGTAAGCTTGCAAAATGGGGAACTCTCTGAGGAGGGCATCAGCTTCACGAGAAATCTGCTCAGCATCCAGAACGACGTCCTTACGGGCGCTGCTGAAAAAGGCAGACCACCCAGAGGGCTGAGTCCGAGCAAGTTCTCCTCTACACACACTCAGACACGCCAGCGTAGCCAGCAGAGGGGAGCGGGACTTCAGGAAAGACAGCGCTGATGAGGTGAGTAGGAAGGAACTTCCTGAAGATGAAGACGAAGACGATGACGATGAGTTAGAAGGTGGGGACGTGGAGAGGTTGATGGGCGTCGTGGACTGATCTTCAGCTGAGGCCTCGGACTCAGAGCTCACATCGGACGGTGGCTCTGAGATTGGCAGAGTGTTCCCATAACCCTGGGCATGCTTTTGAAGCAGAAGAGACAACGAGAACACGCCGAACGATCCATCTTCCTTCTTGGCCTGACTGACGTCTCCTTCCTCACCTGGACAGCAGGTCCACACAGGCAGAGCCTCGCAGCATCTCTGAACAATCACCTGCTGGACGCTGAGTGGAAGCTTCTCCTGCTGCAGCAGGAGCTGAACCCTGGAGATCAAACAGGAAGTAGAAAATCCACACAAGCTGCAATTATTTACCCTGGAAACATCATCATGACGAATATTCAAATCAGCAATCCTACAGTGTGACTCCTTAGTGAACAAGAGGGAAAGTCTAGAGTGGAAACTTGCACAACCCCATTAACCATCAGACAGCATGTTGCCATTCATGACGTGAGGCACTTGTTAGAACAGGATGAGCCTGAAAGCTGCAGTTACGAGATCCTTTACGTCCCCACTCATTACGCAATACCGATGCATCGCCACGACTCACTCACTCGCTCATTTTTAACTACATCAAAATTTAAACAATTATATACAAGCAAAACAGCTCTCAAGCTAAAAATAAAAAGGTTAAATTGGAGTAAACAAACATGGCAGAGGAGGAGCGTGCTCTGCGTTTCTGTCAGTTCTCTTTCTGGTTGGCTAAGCGTCACATTTAATAGGCAGCATGCTGGTTTGTCCTCGAGGCTGTAGAGCGATTGGGGGTTAAATTATGACCAATAAGATGTGATGATTCTATACAAATATAGGATATCAACCTGATTGATCTTTGAATGTTTAACCAGAAGAATTTATACATCTTTGCTTATTCGGGGACCATAAACACACTTCGTATCATTTCAGACAGAGTCAAGTATATAATTAAAATTAAACTTTATTTTCTATACTAATTATAATACGTGACAAGCTATCATGATATGTGATGGAATGGTGATGTGTGAAGTAGATGTATATCAGAAACTTTGTATCTGGAAGAAACTGTGAGTTCTGGGTGTAAAAGAATTTGGTCTGCTATAAACTAGAGTTGATTATTAATAAAACGGCATCAGACGCCAGTGTGCAGTCTACGATACCCTTGTATGAGTTGCTCCCGGCAGTCCGGAGGTTTGCCGTCAAAGTGGTGAGGTCACCGGACGTCGAGACCATGATCCTCAGAGATTAGTAGCTTCCTCTGAGTTCAAGGTTCCCCGGCCATGAGATACAACCCGGGTCTGCAGATTAGGCGTCCAAGAGGATGTCTGAAAGTTGCAGTAGCTCTGGAACGAGCTGTTGTCTGTAATCACTTACTGCTTCGTGGCAAAGGTTTTGACATAAGGTCAAAGGAGGTTGTTTCAAAAAGGCTTCTTTCCCGATTTGGCCGAACCGAGGTGTCAGCTGGAAACTGAGTTAATCGGGAAGTAAACTCTGTTTTATTACCACCATGTTATGATTCTGGCGAATCAGAATCTGACATGTTTGTTGATGTTTACCAAACATCCCTCAGAACCACACCTTCATCAGACACAAGAGTGTTCTAGTTCTGTGGATAAAGAATCTTTATGTGCAGTGGCGTTAACTTTAACCTTGTGTCATACGTGTATGAGAGTGTTAAATCAAACAGTACTGATCATGGTCAGAACAATATTCAGTTCATCTTCATAGATTTAGCACAGTGTAAGGTTATGAAGTTCATGGTTTTCAACTCCATACAGCTGGCCCCTGGGCACAATAACACCGTGTAGAAAAACCAAGGTCGGGTTGTTCCTCAGACTGTTTACATTCCAGGAGAAGAGTCCGAAGGAGAAGAAGAAGCTTTACTTAATCAAAGTACTTTATTTGTGATTAAAAATATTAAGCAAAACAGATGTTGATCAACAATAATCAAGTGAATGATCTGTGAAATAAATATGTCATTAATTATGTTTAATGAAACCAGGACTACGGCACAGACATACTGACCCTCATCTCCATAGAAACGCATGACACATTGTTCCAACCAATCAGAGCTTTCGGCTGCCGTAGGAGAATCTGGCTTGTTGACTTAAAGTGTCCAATCTACTTTACTGAAACTTATCAACAATTCAGAGATATAAAACAAGGCAACGCCATTTTAAGTCAGTTCCATCTTGACTTCAGTTCTATTCACCATCATCCTAAAGACAAGCGCAGCCTGGCCGGATGCGTTTTCTTTAAACTAAGAACTGTGAAACGGGAGATTTTCGTCGTTTAACAACCAGACAACGTCCTTTCAAAATAAGAGCACCTGCTGACGCCGCTGAACGGTACCGGGCCGACCCTCCAGACGGGCTTTGAAACGTTGTGATCGCTGCACCGACAGCTCCACCGTACATCCGAGGTTTCCAGACCTGGCAATTCCTGATCTACTTGGGAGACCCCACTGGGTACGTACACGGCAAAATAGCGGCTCATGTCATCACTTTATAAGCCTCGTGATATCTACTCATAACAAAGACGACCAGATTCGATTACGTCATCCTAGAGAATCTGAACCAGACACACACACACACACACACGCACCAACACAACATCCGAATCCATTCTCATCCATCACAGAGTAGTCCTGGTAGATTGTTTAGAATTTATAATTCAGAAATTAAAGATTCTCAAACGATCCCATATCTCTCTCTTTTCTTGTCTCAAAGTCAATACAGAGTGTTTAATTAAACTCCCTGATGATAAAAACAGCCTAATCTTCTGTTTATAAAAAGTGAACTACTAACAGTGTATTAAAATACAACTTTAGATAGTTACATCACTTTGATTCCGTTACAACAGATTACTCAAATATTTCATTCAACCATATTGTTCATTCTTCATAATTTTAACTGTTGACTTTTATTCTGAGAGAAATCCAGCAGTCTGAGATAAGGGAAAAGCTATTGTACGAAGAGCTTGGGGAAGAACACTTATTTCACAATCTCGTGTTCTGGACTGTCAACAAGCACTGTAGACTCTTTCTTGGTTCAGAAGATTAGAAAACACACAGAAGTAGATCTATTCCTGTGGATTAAAGGTTCACCATGTAGGTCAAAATATAGATGAAAATCGACCCTTTCTGGACGATACAAGGCTCACCACACACACACACACCTCAATATCGAGCCGAGACAATCCAATGAGTGGACTGTTTATGATCAGAGCTTTCCTGACGTGCTTTTGAGCAGACCGCATTACTCTTAACACACCACACACGGAAGGAATATCTGATAAGATTATCTTTAGAGTCGTTACAGTAATCAGAGACATTTATGAGATTCTGGAAGGGGAGAAATCTAAATTCAATTTTTCATTTACCTAAAGTTTTATGACAGAAGCCAAGGTCAGCTTGTACACTCGCCGGCCATTTACTCATCTATATTTGTTCAATTAATGTAACAATAAATCTAATCAACCAATCAGAAAGCAGCAGCTCAGTGTATTTAGATGACCTTCAGAAGTTCAAACAGCGTTCAGATGGGCTGGTCGAAGTTTTTCAGAAACTACTTGAAAATGTTCTGGGATTTGAACCCACAATCATCTCTAGGGTTCACAGAGAATGGTCTGAAGAGAGAAAACGTGTCGTGGTAATGAGATTACGTACCTTTTAGGAGAGACCTGTCTATCAAACAGCAGGTGGGAGAGAAGCTGAAACGGGGTCTGAAGCAAGACGAGTAGTGGATTCCCAAGTTTCACTTGGCTGCTCTGGTCTGAGAGAGGCAGAAAAAGGCCAAATCAGAACAAGATTAGGTAAGGAAACATTTATAATGCCATCAAAAGAAGAAATCCCAGGCCTATTTGGGATAAAAGAACGACTTTACCTTCTGAGGAGAGGCTCCGCACCAGCACGGACCCTAGTGTGTTAACGTAATCCAGGAAGCTGCGCACATAATCTGGTCTGGCTTCATCCCTTTCTGGTTCGAAGGGGCAGAGCTGGTCTAGAGAGCGAAGGAGCTGCTTCATGCTGGAGCGCACGGGATGAGCATCCAGCTCCGACTGCTTTAGACTGGCCTGTTCAACCAGCAGCGTCAGAAGTGCACTGCCAGCGCTGCCCTCTGCAACAGAAACACCAAAAAGAATCCGTAAAACCCTGTCGATACCATCGTCAGATCACACACGCCCAGCTGATGTGTGTGGCGCAGACCTGCAGCATCTGTAGCGGTGCTCAGGTGCTGCAGTGTGTTCTCCAGACGTTGGGTCAGACTGAGTCGTGCGGCAATGACGTCTTCGCTCAGCGTCGGGGAGCAACAGAGCAACACTTCCTGGATGCAGCAACCAAACGGGCTGCAAGCCACCTGGTCTTCCCCGGCAGCATCTGCACACAAGACTGGATCAGTGACAAGCTTTTCTCCATGGAGGATGAAAATATTTAAGATAAAGAAAAATTAAGACTGTTTGTGCATTCACCTGCTTTGATGGAGCCCTTAAGAGAGGCTGAATGATTTAGGATCTTGCTGATCTGTTGCAACACCATGGGAAATCCAGGGATCCCCTCAGAATGAGGCACTTTTCGGTCTACTTTCATTCCTTAGGAAGCGAACAAAGAGCAGGGATGAAAAACACGACATTAACACACCACCAACATTTTACCACAAAGACTCATCGTACCTCGAGCCTCTAGGCTGCCGTGGAGCCGGCGCTCTGCTGTGTCCAGTAGCTGACGGGACGTTTTCCAGAGCTGACAGTGGCAACAAGCCAGGTCGAACACCACCATGGCTGCTGGGCTTAACTCTTCGAGCAGCGTGTAGAGGAGGCCCGAATCATCCGGGGAGCAGTGACTCAGCCAGAAGCCTTCCTCCAGGGAGCGGGAGGTGGTGCTGAGGAGACGCTCTGCTATGTCTGAGATGGAGTAGAAAGCAACTCCTGCAAGGAAACAACCAGAAGGGACAGAGATTGTCAACAGTCGTCATCTTCTGGCAATAAAAATAAGTTATTGCGCCAAAACAAATAAACAGCAGCAACAGAGAAGTTATAAATAATGATTTTACTTGTTTGAAAAAACAAAGTCAGACCTGCAGCAGCAGCACTTCCAATGGCCTGCAGCGTTGATCTGCTGCCCAGTCGACTCCTCCCTGTCCCCGCCACAGCTGCTGGTCCCAGGCCTTCTGAAGAAGATGAGGAGGAAGACATGGACTGACTTTCCATCTTCTGCTCCACCTGAGCCAGCTCCACCAGGACCTCTTTGTAGCGCTCCATGAAGACCAGCTCACCACAGCAGGCAGTCGCCTCCAGATCAAAAACCACAGACACCTGCAGAGCATCAAGGCATGACTGAGATACAGCTACCATGGTGGTGAGGGGGGGGGGGGGGGGGGGGGGGGGGGTTACAAGTGAAGTACAACAGATCCAAAGACCCAGTCTGTTGCACACCTGATGTGCCTCCATGAAGTTTCCTCGCCGAATGCAGGACATCAGCAGTGACTCTGGAGGAGACAGCATGGCAGGGACCAGCCAGCTGTGAGCACCCCCACATGGACAAAACTCCAGCTCCACACACCCCGCCACCAGTCCTCCACCACTGTCTGATGGCGTAAAAAGAAGAATTACTCATTAAATAAATCTGAAGGTGCAGAAACCCCCATGATCCTGCAGAGCCCACCTGTCTGTGCCACCGGTCACATGTCACAACGGCGTGATACGTCATATTTGTGTAGTGGTTTTATGTTTTTGCCAAATGTAACTCAGTTTATGACGGCCCGTGGGCTTAAGAGACATGTAGAAGTCTGAAGGTTAATTTGGATGCATAATAGCAGGAAGCCGTGCTGTGATGCTCTTTCTAAAGGGAAGATGCCGCCGGTCCACTACAAACTGAGATGCTGTTTCTCCTAACGGAAAAAGGAAAATGATCTCATAACCCCTCACAGATGATGAGAAGACACAGTAAGGTCAACCTGTTGTGGATCTTTCCGTTTTCCCCCCATGACATCGTGTTTACACACGCTTGTATGCTCCAGACAAGCAAACTGATGCCTGGTTAACTCATCAGCAGCTCCCGACTCAACCTCGTAACTTTGTTAAATGACTAAATTATTATTTTAAATGAGGCTCTAATATGTGATACCTTTAAAAAATAAATAAATAAAGACTTGAGCTCCGAGTTACCTGATGCACTTGTGCTAACTTCTCCGTTATGTTTCTCCACAGAGGTTTGTCTCTCCACGGAGTGTCTCAGTTTCCTCCTCCTCCTGAAACTTGGGCGTTGGCTGCGTCCCAGGGGAGTGGCCGTGGAGCTGATCGTCGACATCTGCATCGGACTTTCTGAACCTGTAACGACAACCATTAAGAACACGCCATTTTAAACAGAGATTAAACCAAACAGAGGGTAAAGCAGCTCACCGTCTCTGACGCCTTGGTTGCTGGTGATAATTTGCAGCCTCCACTGAGCTTCTGCGGTACGTTTGGACAACCTCTGCAGGCGAGCTCCGAATGTGTCAGCGGTCACAGAGCAGCCGAGAATCTCCGCTGCCTCTGCCTCTCGAGGCAGCGCTCTCCCTGCTTCCTGACCCTCCTGCTCCCCTACCACGCACATGCCCTCCAGCCCTTCTTTCAGCAGCTTTAGAAAACCCTCCATGGCCGTCGCGTCCACCAAAAAACCCCTGCAGCCCTGAACGAGGTGTCCTAAATCCAGGCTCTGCCTCTCCCTTCTTCTGTGCTCAGTCGGATCCATACCAACTCTGGCCTCTGCTTCCACATTTTGATTTGTTGTGTCTGATTCATTCTCCGAGTGAGCATCCGTTTCTGTGTTTGACTCTGTCTGCTGCTGCTGGACAAAGTCAGAGGTGGACAGAAAGAGAAGGGAGAAGATGTTCTCCAGGAGCTCAAGGCGAAACATGGCAGGCACCGTCTCCAGATAGAGCTGACACTCTGACAGGTAGTGCTGGAACATTAAGCTGCAACCTGGGAAAAGACGATACAGACGGGTCAGCTACCATTTCTATGCAGATGATTGCCAAATTAACCTGAAACTCAGTCAACAGCACTCGTCTGCTGTTTTGGTAGAACGCCTCTCTGAGGTCAGAACCTGGCTGTCCTCTTAACTGCCTACGGTTAAATGACGGCCAGACAGAAGCCATGTTTTTAACCCCACCAACACATATGGTGCTACAGATGCACCCGCTCTCCCCTCACTCAGTCTTAAAACGCGTCACCAGCCTGGGTGTGAAACTCAACTCTGACCTCTCAATGACTTCACAAGTCAATGCCACTGTCAGGTCTTGCTTTTATCAACTTTGCTGCATCACACGGCTTAAATTCATCCTCAGACTCCCGCATCTTGAATCTGTCATTCATACGTTCATTACCTTCCACCTGGATTACACCAACGCTGTGCTGATTAGGATTGATGCACCCGCCTTGAGAAGACTACAGAAAGTTCAAAATGCTGCAGCTAGGTTCTTAACCAATTCCTACAGACGCATGCACAACTCACCCACCCTTGCTCATTTACACTGGCTCCTGGTGAAATTTAGAATGAACTTTTTGTTTACAAGGCTTTGAATGGTCCGCCTCCATCTCATCTGACTGAGATGGTGACTCCATACACACTCACACGTTCCCTTCGATCGGCCGATCCCCAGCTACTGGTTGTTCTGAAGGTCCGCTATAAATCACGGGGGGAGCGTGCCTTTTCTCTTGCTGCACCCAAACTCTCTACCCAATCAAGTACGTTTGGCTCCATCCCTCAGTAGGTTCAAGTCTGCTCTTAAGACACATTTTTTCAGCATGGCCTACCTACTCTACACGATCTATTTCAGTAAAACCGCACGGCTCCAGTAGGCCGTGTCTTGCCTCTTAGGACTGTTTTACTTTTCCTGTTTAGTTTAACTCTGATTCATTCCCTCTTTCAGTTGCACCTTGGAATATTTTGTAGCTTTTTTGGTTTTATTGGTGTTTTGAGCGGGTTTCATCCAGGTTCTCCCTTACCTGCCATAGCGATTTTACTTCTTCTCTTTGTCCTTTTAATCGTGTATTTTATGCTTTGGTTTTTATGCTTTTTAATTGTCCTTTAGTTTTTTGCTATTTTTCTGTTTTTGAGCCTCTGGCTTTTTATGTCCAGCACTTTGGTTAGCTGACATGCTATTTTAAACTGTGCTTTATAAATAAAATGGTATGGTAAAAACAAAACGTGACTTTTTCTAATCTCAACTCAGAGAAGTGAGATCCTAATCAGCATAAAGCAGGACAACAACATCTTTACCTTCAGAGGAGGTTTTGTTTTGGTCCATTTCTGCTTCTGAAGGGTGCTGATGCTGCAGAGACTCACACTCAGAGCAGTTTGAGTATTTGTGGAGGTTAACACAAAGGGCATAAACAGCATACTTCATGGCACAGAAGCCCTGGAACAAAACTACATTCCTCTCCACTCCCAGACCACCAGTCTCTACTGCAAGAAAGCAAAAGAAACAAATTCATCCTTTAGAATAAATCAAAGTTTCACTCAAATTCTAAATGAAGTAACAAAAGGTGGCTCTTGTGAACCTGTGGCAGGTAAACTTGGCAGTTGTAGCAGCTCTATTATCCTGTGTTCCTCATAACGAGCCAGTGGGGTCAGCGAGTGCAGGATGTAGAGAGCTGAGTGGTTTTCCAGAGTGTGGAGCTGAGCTAACAAGGCCTCTTCCGGTATCCCTCTGCACACAGAAACGCCACAAATAAAAATCACAAAGTCAGGATTCTGCTACAATCACAACCTCAAATAAAAAAATGCTTACGGATTGTTGGCTTCACACCATTCCAGTATCCCCAACTGAGATGTCAAAAGATGACAGAATTCCTGCAGAACGGTGTCATTAGCCGACGCCTGGAAGTGATGAAAATATAAACCAGGGCACCATTAATGTGAAGCAGCCATTCAGGTGGAGAAAAAAAAACGAGGTTAGTTTGCTGAAACGAATAAAAGGTTCTGGTTTTGACCTGATCCTTATGCAGGATGCTGAGGAGAACCTGAGCAGAAGTCAGGCTCTGACAGTGAGTCCATCCGAGCAGCAGCAGCAGACGGGACAACGGCTGGAATTCCTGCTGCAGCAAACGTCTCAGCTGACTGAACTCCTCGTGTTTAATCAGGTCCAGCGCAGTGATCTACAGGGAGGAAACCATTTCATTCAATCACAGAATATTCTGAACCACGTTTATAAAAAGTCCCACTCACACGATCCCACTGAGGGGTTAACTCACCAAGACCTGCTCCAGGAAGTGCTTCCCACTATTAAGGCACTCAAAGAAGATGGTCTTCCAGGCGGACGGACGATCTTTGTGGCAACACAAGCTGAGAGTCAGCTTCTCTGCCTCGGGCAAATCCGCTGAAAAAGAAGATAGAAGAATAAAACGACAATATGGAAGGCTGACTGTGTCTCTGCTTGGATGAGTACAATTCTGCTTAGTTTATTCAGGTAAGTCAGTCGAGAAAGCTCCCTTTTGTCACGGATTTGAAAACATTTTTTGTTGGCGCTTTGATTTCTGTCTTTTTGTAGGTTGGACCTGAAATCAGAGCCGATGGGTCAAAACATTTTTAGTTATGAAGGCGAAAGTTCATCTGCTGAAATGAAAACGACCAGTTTTCATTTTTGTTAAGTAAATTTATATGACACCCAAGATGAGCAGTAGGAGTGCACAAAGTAAACAACAACAACAACAGGGAAGATAAATACAGCAATAATATAGAACAGTCTTTATTAAAGAACAAGTTCACTCGTTTGTTTCAACACATTTGCAGCGGTCTCTTTTATAATAGAATGCCTTGTAAGTTGATCTTCGTGGGGAAAAAGCTCTGGAGCTCCTGTTTCAGGAAGCAGAAGTTGGCCGAAGGAGAGGGGAGCAGAAGACGGCAGGATTTGGACTCTTATGTCCTACAATTGGGATATCTTGTTTCTGATTGGCTAACAGCAAAGCAACTCTACCACTGGCCCTGTTTGCTTCACAACGTTGATGTTTTAACTCCATAAATAACACAAGCCTGAAGGAGTTCTGCTGTGTGGTGGATTAGCTAATGCTAATGGTTAGCTTCTAACAACGAGATGTGCTCTGCTCTCTCCTGGATGCTAAATCAACAACAGCCTTCCCCATAGTGACTCAGTATGGGTGAGTCCATGAATGCTAACCTGACATTATGACGTGCTAATATCAGGCTTTTTTTTTATTTGAGCGTTTCCCTGTCGATTTTCTTTCAGAAGCTAATGCAGGAAATAGGGGTAGAAGACTTTTTTCACATTTACCCTGTATTTTAAACTCAGAGTGGCCAATCATAACAAAAAAGTGCTGGTGGGGGTCGGAGGGACCGGCGGCGCCGATGCTCAGCAGCCTCGCCTCTGTCAGTGCACCCCAGGGCAGCTGTGGCTACATTGTAGCTCATCCCACCGGTGTGTGAATGTGTGTGTGAACTGGTGATTGTGTTGTAAAGCGCCTTGGGGGGTTCCAGGACTCTAGAAGGCGCTGTATCAAATACAGGCCATTTACCATTTAAAAGTTTCTGTACATTCCTGATTGGCTGCAAATAGCAAAACAGTGGAAATTAGAACTAAACCACATGTTTAATCATCTAGATTGTAATCTCACCATAGATTATATTTTTGAATGTAATTTGAAAAAGTGCTGATATGACAACCCATTCGCCATCGATGGTGTACACAGTAATGACACAAGATATCTACATGTGTGTCGGGCATCGGCGTAAACAAAGGCACCGGTAAACCTAGCATGCATGTTTTTAGTCTGTGGGAGATAATCCACTCATGCATGAGGAGAACACGATAAGTCCACGTAGAAAGGCTGCCGTTGGGTTTCAAACCCGCAACTCTTCTTGTTTGAGCCAATCGAGCTTCTAGCTGATGTAACCTGCACAAAGAATTTAAAGCATCTTCTAATTCAGTAGCTTATGGTCTACTGGTAGCATGAAAACATCTGCTACTGCTTTATGTAAGTGAGGGCACAGCTCTGATTGTTCTTTAGTCCAGGAATGAGATTTTTTTTTCCTGCATCAAAACAGTTTTTATAGCAGGAACGCACAGGCAGACACCTCGTTTACCGCCTCTGGCAGTCAGGAGAGGATGAACCAGAGCAATGTTGTTAGACTGCATGTCAGCATGTGTGCATAAAATAAAAATCTGGTTTCCACTTCCTTATTTGTGAGATGCAATAACTGAAGCTGTGACAGCGTTCTGAACAGATCATCACATAACCTAATACCTACAAAACAGCACAGCTGTAAGCTCCTTATTTGGGAACAGATTTTCTAAATTAAAAATAGGTTTAGGTATAGAAGCAAAATGAAAATCTAAGCTCAGACTTTCTAAATATCTGGTTAAATCAAAATTATGCAGCAGCAAAAACAGAAGTGAGAATAAAAAGGGGAAAGAAAGTCAACATTCTTCCTCAGCAATGATAAACGAGAAGATTAGCAGTCAAAAACTTCAAGTTTCTGTGGCAAAACTAGCCAAACTCTAAAGTAAACACATATATCCATAACGATTTTAAGACATGATAAAAGGGTTTTGTTTAAGTCAAACGCCACATCTTCAAATATTTATTCAACCGATTTAGTCAAGAGCATTTAAAAAGGGAACACGTTCTCATCAGCACTTCTTTTCTACACAGAAGTGGATTAAAATGATGAAAAGCGTCAAAAAGTAGGAGAAAAATAAGAATCATCTGACTCAAACCATGTGAGGTCAGTGAATCACGTTTATGTTCATGTTCAGATGGCGCCTTATTCCAGATGAAACATATTTTTAATTCAATTTCACTAAACATGTTAGGGGCATCTGACATCGGTTAGAAAAGCTCATCAGTAAATAAGATTTTTTACTCTTGAAGTTGAAAGAACGCAATTTCACCTCGTGTCTGGTGCATAGAATAAAACTACCGCCGTGTCAGCGGACAGGGATTGGTTTCTGTCGGAAACTGAAGCAGGCTGCTTTACGCCACACTTCTCACCTCGTGTTTCAGGTGCGTTTCTCAGCAGATGGTCTCTCTGCAGCCTCAGAGCCGTTGAGCAGTACACAGAGAGCAGGGTGTCGCACCGGGGGCGAAGCAAAGAGCCGAGAATCCTCTCCTCCTGCAGGGGGCCGTCTCTGGCTGCCCACAGCGTCTCACACAGCGTTTCCAACTGTCCATCACTCCTAGGGGAGCACCACGGCAGCAGAGAGAGCACGGAGTAAATCTCCTCCACCCATTCATGTCTTCCTTCTGGCTTCCCGAGCTTCTTCATCAAGTGTTGGATGAAGGTGTGCTGCAGAGCACGGCCTTCTGTGCACGACTGGTCCTGCAGGACACGGAGAAAAGGGAAAATGATCTGAAGTCGTGCCAGAAAGGCGATGATTTGGGCTTGTTTAAAGTCACAAATGTGGACTTCCTTGTTTTCATTCAGCAAATGTTATTAAACCAGCATTATCTTCTAATTTCACCTGAAAGAAATGTGCTAACGTCTGAGCAAGTCGTGGCTTCTTTTTCTCCAACAGTGTTTGGATGGAAGACTTAACAGCAGCATCATCTCTTCTCTCCTCAGACCGCAGGGCCAAGAAAGCCTCGTGCAACTCCTGCCACAAAAATAATATCCATGAAGCAAAAACAAACAAGAATGTTTTGTTAGTAGATGATTATCTGTTTTAATAAAACTCAAACCTGAATATGAGTCTCCGTTAGGCCCTCTGAGCCCAGCTCCTCCAGGAGAAGCAGAAACTCTAGCTCTTGTTTGATGTGAGGAGGAATCTGAGGAGGGAAAATGGTCAAATTCACTCTTCTGCAACACACTAGAGTTGTGGTTTAACGAATTAGTTATAAGAAATAAACAAGAAACATTTGAGATTTTAATTGCAGTAAAAGTGAAACTTTTTTCTTCCATCTTTAAGGTTTACCCGCTCTTTTGTCCACTTTTCCAAAACCTGCAGCCAAAACCAGGCCAGCTTGTGAGGACTTCCAATAGGCCCCCATCTACAATAAAACATCCATACAGATTTATCACATATCAATCACAGAAAGGTAAACAAACACATATGCATTATTTACATGTGACTTACTTTAACCTGTAAGGATGGCAGATAATAGCTTTGATGATGTCTTGCAGCTCCTCTGAAAGCCCTCCAACTGAATTAACAAGCTGTGGCACACAAGCACTCGCCAGCTCCCACTCCCCATGCTGCAGGCACCTTTTGAAATACTCAAAGAGGTCACGGACAGAAGTCTCCGCTTCACAACCGAAAGGATGCATGCTCATTTTGGCGGAGTAATCACAGCTGAAGAGGCATCTTAAGTCCGACACAAATAAGGAGACTCTTGGGAGCTTTTTTCACCTGAAAAACAAAGAAGAAAAGAAGCTTGAACTCCCCAACTAACATGTAATAACATCAGTTTTCCTTTCTGGTTAAAATTAGAGTATGTCATTAGTTTTAAAACATTAACAAACAGATTTTAGTAACATCTTTAAATTGTTTTTTTTCTGGCAATAAAAAGTAATGTGTGTAAGAGTGATTTACTGGAATCTGCAGGGACTTTAGTTAGGCGCTCTTATGTGGGGCAATCATAGACCTGCTGTAAAAATCATACAGAAAAATAAAAGCATTGTTTCTGGTACTCTGGTTTATGTTCTCTTTAAATATGATTCACGTTTTCACAATAAAAAGCACAGTCTGGTAAATTCCCAATAACTGGTAACCCAATTCATGATTCATGCTTTATTTTTTTTATTGTTTTAAGCTTCAGAGAAGTTGCTAATCTGATCCCAATGGCTCTGGAACAGATTTTTGTACTGCATAACTCAATATTTGACATTTTATTTGATAATGATTTCAGTCATCTACATTACTGTAAGCTGATTGCAAAAATCTAAACAAAATCTGCATCACAACTATGAACGTTAGCATTTATCTTTGGAATTAAACGATGAGAAATTAAATTAACTTTGTTTTATTAAATGTGTTTATAAGAAGCTACTTATATTAACATAATTTTTAATTTTCTCTTTAGATGTGACAGCTATTCCTCTGGTAGCTTCGCATGTTATGACCGACAAGTCAGCTAACTTCCGTAACAGCAAGCGGGGACACTTATTTACACACATTTATAACGATAATAAGTTTGTTAGTAAGAAAAAAATGTGACTTACTCATTTTATGAGCTGTTTCCCACTCAAATCACAATATCTGCTCGACATATCGCTTCTCTCAGTGTTATGCTAACTACATAACGATGGTCATGTGACTAAATCAGCTGATTCCCCGCGGCTGATTGGCCAAACGTTGTCACAGAGTGGGCGTGGTATCGAAGCACTTTTTGAAATTGATGCCTTCGCGTGTACTCGGAAAGATTTTATTACTTCTTAAACGTAGATAAAAAAGAACTACAAGTTTTTTTTGCCTTTAATCAGGGTCGTTATTTCTGATTGTAGCGCAAATGTTTGAGATAGACTTCGCATTTATTTGTACTAAAGGCTTTTTGCCGGATATATTTTATGTTTCCTTGTAAAATAGAAATGTTCCCTGATAAATTCAAACAATGGAGTTTATGAAGTGAGCGATTGTCATTGAACGTATCCTGTAACGGGTTGATTTGCACCGAAAATGCTGACACGGCAATTCGGCAAATAAAGGCAGAACACTCCTGGGATTTCGTGAAAACATACATGAAACAATGCATACATTTAAAACATCTGGAATGATTTATATGTGACCGTTTAGCCAGCATTGACCCCCTCCTCTGTGTTTTCCTCCTCCATCATCACCAGTTTCCAAGGCAACAGGCGGGGTTGGCCGGCTGGATGCTGAGCCCATCAGTCCTCGTTCAGTATCACTGCTCAAAACCTGCTCTGCATCACGCACGAATGGAAGACCAGGACAAGAAAGAACAAGTAGGTAGCCTCACGCTTGACTTTGTTCTGCTAGACGTACATAGCAAACAGCTACAAATGAATACCTGACAATGGAGAATAACTATCACAGAAGAATTAGCACAGCTGATTGTTTGTGATCCAGATTAATGAAGCTATTGTTCCTGTCGGTACTCCAGATTGAGACACGTCATAAGTAAGAGGTGTCAGGAAAAGGAGAGGGCCACATTTAGACATCAGCTTGTAAAAGGGCTGCAGGAGTTATCTTTCATGAGTCTGATCCTTCTAAATCCCTGTTTCACAGAATGGGTACACCGGAGAGATAAAAGGAGGGATGCGGCCTTCAATGAAACTGGTTATTATGGGAATTGTTGACAAGAAGCCTAAAAGGTTGGTGCTCACACCTGTTCTGTTCTTCAGGGTCGTTGTTACCATAAATACAGGTTGCTGCTGCACATATATACAGCAAATTAAAACAAACCAATCAATCAACCAATTAATCTATCAATCAATCAGTCAGTCAGTCAAGGTGTTTCACAAAAAATAAAACAATAATAATATGAACTGTAACTAAATGAATTAAACTCATGATTAATCAATCCAATAACCTTAAGCAAAATAGAATAACATTTGAAATGAATAACAATAGAGTGTAATTAAGTGGAAATTTATCTTAGTCATCCAGAAAAATTGCAAGAAATAAAACAAGTAGTTGGCTGAGTGCAAAACAACCTGTTTCAGTTAAAGAGTTATTACAATAGATTACCAAGCTCATAAAATGTTTTGTGCCACTTTCATTTCTTCTCATTGCTTGTTGAAACTCTTGGAACCTTGTTAAGATCCAGCAATGCGAAATTGGATTTTTTGCCATTTTTCAAGTGGTCTTAAACTTTTTATCAGGACTGTATCTTACTGTCCATTTTCTCATGGGAAACTGCCTTTATGAAGTTGATCTTTTCCCCCTAGTTTGGATTATTCTGTGGATATTCAGGAGAAAATGGTAAATCCTGTGATCTTACATCCCTGCGGACAGTTTTTAGTTGCCAACATCTGCATGCATCTTTTTAAAACTCATTAGCAGACTTCACTGAATTAAAATGAACAAATGTAGAACTATAACTTTTTAGCAAAAGAACAAACTGCTCAAAATAAATACTTTAGAAATATACAGGCACTCTTTTGAGATTCTTGATCATATTGAATTTAACCCAACCTAAAATCCCTTGAGGATCTTTATAAAGAAAGTCAAATAAAACATATAAATTAAAAATAAATCCCTGATCTAAGCAGCTGAACTTCCTCTGCATCTGGGCTCAGCTGTGGAGATAAAGCTTCATCATCAGAGGGAGGTCCTCATCAAAGAGTCAGCAGAGGTAGCTCAGGCAGCTGATTGAAATCTGTCTGTCAGTTTCTTTTCTTTAAAGATTTTTCAGGCTAGCTAGTCCTTCATGTGGAAGATCCAAGGGCAGACCTAGAATCTGCTGGAGGTATTATCCTCTGTGGCCTGGGAATACCCTGGGATCCCTCCAGGGGAGCTGGAGAGTGATAGGGAGATGGTACGGGTCTTTGGGTCTTTACATATGTGACCAGTTCTTCAGCCTAAAATTAAAATAATTTCAGAACAAATGACAAAATCAGCCCTCTAAATGAGCACTGTTTAAAAAATACTAATAAACATGAAAGACAAATGGAGAATTTGTCAAATGTTTGTTAAAAATGTCTTGTAAAAAGGAAAAATAGGGATAAAACTGTGTTTGATGCAAAAAAGTCAAGGTGATTCTTTTGGTTTTATTTGAACAACCCAATCAGCATTTTTTCATCAGTTCAATAATGTCTTAAAAACTTGTTTTCCTTCTAAATATTACAAATGACACTAAATCATGGTTGAAAAAGAACTGTATGCATTCTGTGGCAGAAACAAACCAACAATTAGATTTGTTTCTTCAATTCTTTATTACAACACTGCAAGACCACAAGATGTCACTACTTTACTATTAAATCCTGGAGGAGGAGCAAAGCTCACTGAGAATCTGTATTGTTTTGTGCACCATGTTGATGTGTCCCTGATGTTTGTGCGGCCGCCGCAGCATCGAGGTGATTCTGTCAGCAAAGCCTCAGGAGGAGGAGGAGGAGCCAGCGGGCGATGTGGGCCTGCAGATGAAGGTCAGCTTTATGGATAAGGCCGTCCAACGCAATGCCTGTTTGGCTGGGAAGTGGGGTCCTTGTGAAAACACTCTCTCCTTCTTTCCTTTTGCACCTGGAGAAGCCTTCAAGGTACTTATACTATCCCGTTATCTGATGCATGTGCTTTAGTATTGTAATCTGTGCAAAATCTAATTTGAAACCAGCTTTTTATTTCTGGGTGTACATTATGTTAGGACTTTTAGATAATTTTCAGCCAATTTTAAGTGTGTTTCCATGTAAAAATTATAAGTTAGCTTCCTGAATGGTTTTGGACTGTTGAGATATCTGCAGCTCTGAGGCCTATTGTGTTGTTTTTTTTTTAGTTTGTTAGTTTTGTTTATTTGTTGGTCCCTCTGCAGCAGCTCTTTAGACTTAGTGAGAAATAATTTTTAAAAAGAAAACTTTTTTCAATGGAGCAGGTTCATTCTAAGATAGCCTGGTTCCCACTTTTACTAGCTCCGTGTCAAATACAACCATTTTATACACAAATACACTGCAAAAACGAATTTATAGGAAGGTAAAAATAAAACAAATTTTTTGACATTTTATCCTATTTTTTATCTAAAAGGAAAATACTGCATTAGTGAAACTAAGGTAAATATTAGTAATTGTAATTCTTGCTTTGAGTAAATAAAATATCTTTGGCAAATGAGTAATCAAAAGTTGCTTGGCTACTTAACGAGCGAAAAAAGTTAATTGTTATTTAAAGGAATTCTAGCCAAGCAAGTTTCGCTTACGTTAATGGCAAATTCTTTTCAGGTAATGCAATTTTTCTAGAGAAAATAATCTTTTTTAATTTTTAGAATAAAAATGAGATAAATTGTCTAAAATTCAGTTTTTATTTTTTAGAAATCAATTTTTGCAGTGAGAAAATATACGATTTTTCTTTCATTACAATTGAAACAAAAAATAAATGATCATTGACCCGCACTTGTTTAGCACCTTTCAAAGTCAGAGGACTCCAAAGCCCTTTACACTACAGTGTATAATTCATTCATTCATTCATTCATTCATTCATTCATTCATTCACACACTGATGAGCTACAATGTAGCCACAGCTGCCCTGGGGAACATCGACAAAAGCGAAGCTGTCCAGTCCTTCTGACCACCACCAGCAATGAAGAAGAAGTAGGAGAAGAAAAGATCCTTTCTGTAGCACCTCTCAAGAGAAAAACACGAGGCGCTTCACAAAAACAAATACATGTAAAATATAAACAAATAATTTAGAAAATAATTTAAATGTTATTTAAATGAGCAAAAAATTGACCATTGTGATTAAAAAATGTAAAGAAAGAGAGAGAGTGAATAGGAAAGAGGGAAATCAGTGGTCCTGAGGAAGGTGGAATAGGTAGGGAGAGCAGAACAAGGAGAGGGTGATGAAGGTCACACCAAAACCAGCTTGAACAGTTGAGTCTGCAGCTGCTTTTTAAAGGAGACCACTGAGTCCACTGATCTCAGGCTCAGGGGGAGAGAGGTCCAGAGTCTAGGGGCCACAGCAGCAGAATTCTCTGTTTAGACCTAGGATTGAGCCTGCAACCTTCTGATTACTGGACAACCCACTCAACCTCCTGATCTACTGCTTCCCACAAATAAAGGCTTGCCTCTAATTAAAAAAAAAACATAAAAGTTTGGCCTACTTTATTTTCCAGAAGTTCTCCACTCATAATTAGACTTCCAACATATTTTAGGTACATTTTTCAGCTCAGCATTTTATTTATCTGGATAAAAGATTCTTTAAAGGTTGCAGGTCTCTGATTAATCCAAATACACCAAAATGCAATGTCACTGTCATTAATGAGTCGATATTTCACAGCAGTTCATGGACATACATCTGCTGATGTTGAACTCCTGTTGCACAGAAAGGGCTACATTTTACTGCTGCTGCTAATATTCACGTAAATAACCTTGTTACATGTAATTATGGGAAACTAATACGGGAATAATGTTGGGATGTATGGATTTGATTTAGGGAACTGAAGCTGTTTGAAACTGTCAGCTCTGTTAGACAAACTCTTGTAGCCAACATGTAGGTTATTAATATTTGTAACACACACACACACACACACACACACACGCACGCACACACACATGCACGCACACACACACACACACACACACACACACACACACACACAAAGATTAACTTAAAAATCTTATAATAAAAGTTGCACCTTAGGCAACGCTTTTACAAACTTCCCTAAGTGACAGTTCCTGTGGTTTAGACTGGTTCACAATAACTAAATTCTGACTAAACATGTCAAAGCCCTTGTTCTGGCATTCATACAGTTTGAACTGAAGTCAGCTCTTACCAGTGCTTTGTTATTATCTGAGAAACACACATGCCAGGACACGAAAAACACCGACTAAGAAACAAAATGCAACTCACAACTTTTTTGATGAGAGCTGATTCTACGTGCCCTCTGACCCGTAGATGGAGATCGTTTGTGAGCACCAGCAGTTCCGTATCTTGGTGGACGGTCAGCCTCTGTGTGGCTTCAACCACCGGCTCTCCCATCTCGCCTCCCTCACCTCCTTACGGGTCTTTGGGGACCTCCAGCTCACCAAGGTGGCCTAACACCAGCTTCCCACCCACTTCAGACCGCCTTGTGACAGCAAATGCCGCATTAGACTAGACTAGAACTCCTTTTTCAGAGAATAAAACCACCCATCATGGGAATGATGTGTTTCTGTTTATTAATTTTTTTTACATCTGTCTCGTAACCCTGCAAGTGCCTTCGCTAAAACGACCCATGTGGAGACTTGAAGATGCTGACTGAATTTCAGCGATGAGGAATGTGATGTGAGTAGTGCTGTAAGCGACCTGATTGTCTCCTCTAAGGAAATACACGTGCAGCAGACTTAAAGAGCCACTAAGATGTTCTGCACAAGTCACTTAGGAAGAAACTTTCATTTGTTTGAGTTCATCTTTGGAAGCACTTACATTTACAAGCACGTAGAAGTATTAATGTCCATGTTTAAAACAGCTGTAACGAGTAAATCAACAATGTGCATGCAATGTTGTATGTTTATTCCTCTGATTTTATGTTTGATTAAGCACAAAGTCTTCAGTCTTCAGCCATGCTACCTTTAAAAGCCCTCTCAAGTTTGTGTGATGAACCCTTTCCACTGGTTCTTTTAGGGGAATGTTTCACATAAACCTTCATTCATTGCAATAAATCAGTTTTATTAGTTTTTGTGCTGCTGTTTTCTGCTTTGAGGTCAAATGCACAAGTGTTATAAACTCCAAAATCCCCCTGCAGGGAGAACCACACATTACTGGAGTGTTGTGCTGTTTGATTTCTCTGGCAACGGGCTCTAAAACAACACCAGCTCAGCGTGAGTCACTCACATAAAAGCCCGACTCAGCTCTCTGAATGGGAGCGTCTCTCTGTGATTGACTGGGAGCGCCTGAAGCTCAGGTTTGATGGCAGATAAAAACGTACTAATACCTTCACCAGTCTCTGCTTGTAGTCATTGGTTTTGTTGCGAGAAATCGTCGCTCAGGGCGAAAATAATCACAGAAATGTCAGAATGAAGGGTTCCCCTCAAAATTTTCTACGTTTCTGTAAATTCTAGTGAAAAGTTTGTCTTTTGCTATAATCTAAAGTGTGATGACACACATTAGCTTTGCTGTATAAACAGTAGAACCAAGGTTAGCATAAATGTTAATATTGCTAGCAGTAGGTTATTAGGGGTCAACATGGTAACTGCAAAGTTAAGAGTCTATGTGCAAAATGTCAAAAATTTAACTCATTCACTGCCAGACGTTTCCTGATCAAAAAAGCCCTTCGCTGCCAGTGTTTTTCAGCGTATTCACTGTTTTTTTAAGAGTCACAGAATGTTGTGCTCTATGGTGATGTTAACGCCAAAACTAACAAAACAAAGAAGAGACTCACCTCGTACATCAGGAAGAATCCGCGTGTTTGGAGCGTTCTCCGTTCGTCCATAATCTGTTATCGAATTGTGATCGGCAGAAGCTTTTCCGGTTCGCGCCTCACCTTTTTTACATCAGCAGCCCAAACCGATCTCCTAGCACAAGGATTTTCTGTTTCCTGATCACGTGACGTGTGACGTACGCAGATGAAGATCGGCTTTAGAGCTGGTATGTTTGTTCTCACGGTGCGGGGGCTCATTCTGACGTCCACACAGTAAAAAAATGCAAATGGTGACTTTTGTCGTCAATGGCAGTGAATAAGTTAAAATACAGTTTTACAAAATAATCAGAGCTATGAAAACACCAGTTCTAGTGAATTAAGTCCAACAATCTGTGAGTAATTTAAACTCTGGATAATGTTTCTACTGTGGAGTATACCAATATTCTGTGGAAGTGCTGTTTTCCAATTATGACCGACAGTGAAAGAAAACCATTTCTGATTAAAGGTTCCATGACGAATCTGCAAAACAGGCTAATTTTAAACACAAACGTGATGAGAGAGCTTTCACTCCTCTCATCGGTTATCATTCTTTGGCCATGTGACGTCTGCCAGATACCGGAACCCACATAGGGAGTGCATTTTTCAAACAGGAAGTGGGAGTGGAGTAAGATTCTGGTAGAGGGTGACTTGCTTTTTAAGTTTTTCAGCTACAAACAAAAATAAAGCCAGGAAAACTGAGTGGTTGTCTTGTAATTAAAATATTTATTTTATAATAAATGATAAAGTCTATATTAATATGAACTTTAAATTGCATAGATTTGTTGAGAACATTATTTTGTCATCACTCTAGTTCTTTCATTTTGGCAAATTTGCTTCCCAAAAGGTTAAACTCAAGAAATAAAATAACAATTTTGTAAACACAAACATTTTTAATACACAAAGTACAACGAATCAAATATGAAAATAAAATGCTACAACTGTTGGGCTACCAAAACTTCCTGTTGTAATCTGGATTCAACACAACAAATGAGTCAAAAGAACCAAAAACACAGACGAGTAGAAATGTTACAACTTCTGATGCGTCATCGGTTTTGTGCAAGAGAGCACTTCTTCAGCCTGATGGGAACAGTCCCCCCGTCCAGTCAGCAGCTCTACGTCTGCTGTCTGATTGCATCGATCCACTCCATCTTGTCCTGGTGAGTCGCAGCCTGGATGAAGTAATGGACGTCTGACTTAGTGATGATTTTAAATAAGTTGCCTTGAATGTTTCCCTTCACTCCTGCGTCAGAAGGGAAAGTTAGTCAACAAAACATCCAACAGAGATTCTTTACAGAGATCCCTGCATTTTCCAACAGCCTTCAGCAGGACAGAAGACAACATCTCATCAATTCTGTAGGAGCAGACTCACCTGAAGGAACTCCGTTATCTTCCAGGGACGACACCAGACAGCCGCGCAGGGAGAAACCGCCAACAGGAGTGATGTCATCCTTAAGGGCGACATAAGAGACAAAGTCAGACATGCAGAGGAAATGTTGTGATGAGTCATCATGAGTAATGGCTGCAATCAAACACAGCCTGTTTTGTTCATTTTACATTTAGACTGGAAACATTTACCATCTAAAGCTTTTAGTACGAATGAAGAGCTCACCTTGGTGGGGTCGTAATAGTGGAGGAAGGCGGGCTCTGAACGCAGCACAAACAGCCGCACTTTCCAGTTTTTCCTCCTGTGGCCCTGCAGAAGGAAAATTAATCAAGAGCTCTAAAAAAACTTTTTTTGACTATGTGGCAAAAGTAAAGAATAAGCTACATTTAATAGGTATTTAAGATGGACAAGATTTATGTTTCAATCAATAATTACTTACAACTGATTTCTTTTTAAATTAAACTTTTTTAAGTCATCTGTTTATTATTCTCATGTTTAAATGTTAATAGGCTGAGGTGTGGACTCGAATCACATGACTTGGACTCGAGTCGGACTCGAGTCATTATTTTAATAACTTTTGACTTGACTTGATAAAATCTATAAAGACTTACAACTTGACTCAGACTAGAAGGTCAATGACTTGCGACTTGAATCGACTTGCATCTGTTGACTTGATAATGACTTGAGCATATTGGATATTTTAGCACAAAAGTGGCACGACATGGACAAAAATCATTCTTGGTTCTGGGTTTGATCTTGTTCTGCTAAATGCAGCAGCTCTTTGTTTATAATCAGTTTCCGTTGCTTGTTCTGCTTATTTGAGCTAATAAATAAAGCTTTAAGAAGCTTTATTTCTAGAATTAATTTATAATCATTGTCATTAAATTGAAGTTGGACAGATGACTTGATTATGACTTGAAAATTCAAAGTTAAGGACTTGGACTTGACTTGGACTTCCACATCATTGACTTTGGACTCGACTTGGACTTGGTTGTCTTTGACTTGGACTTGACTGGAAAGACTTGTGACTTACTTTTGACTTGCAAAGTAGTGTGCTGGTCACACCTCTGTTAATAGGTCATGCTACATTCAGTTTTTACATTGTATATGACCAATAGTGCCACACCTATTCTTTACTCCTATTGATTATACCAACCAGTGATAAAATAGAATAAAGACGTGTCATTTATCTATTCCCCCCAAAGCTACTCTTCATTATCATAATAATTATCCCTGATGGTGTGTCTTTACCATCGTTCTTTACCTGCTTGAGTAGATATCCTCTCCTTATCACTATCCCACTCAGCTCCACTGCAGACAGAGATGTCTCAGCCTTCACGCTGCCTCTCTTCTTCAGACTTTCAGACTGAAAAAAGAGAGAAAACATTACAAACCTGATTATGATCAAAGAAAGCCGTCATGCATTATATTACAGATGAAAATATGTACAACTGGTGGAAATAGCAGCAAGAAGACACCGACATAGGTAAGGTAACACCTACAAAGCTGTAGAGGGCAGTGGAGTCGTCCAGGAACTGCTCGCCGAGTCCGGCAGTACGGAGGCCCTCCACGCTCTTCAGACCAACAGCCCTGAGGAAGCCCTCCTCCAGCAGAGCCGAGGCCAGAGTTACAGCCTCCACACGGGTCAGAACCAGCTGCATGAACACCAGCCAGTCAACCACTGCTGAACCTGCAGGGACACAGACACAAGCAGGTCAATCAGCTGCTCTCAGGCCTTTCCCCACTGATTCTAACACAAATGCATCTACATATCTCAAGTGGAACACCAAAATCTCTCCATAAACTCATTGTGACGTAAAAATCATGCACCAAATTAGTCAAGAACATATAGTATTTTATATAGTGTTTTGTTCTATTAACTTTATTGTTAAAGGTCATATTTGGATTTTTAATTTATTTGCAGTGGTCTCTAGTAGGATGAATGCCTTGTTAGTCATTCTCTGGAGGAAAAAAGCTCTGGTGCACCAGTTTGAGGATGTAGAAGGGTCGTTAGGACACTCAAACTCCTCCACCAAGGTAAGGTGGCAGCCCACCTCTTCAGCTACCCATCCCCTGGACTTTTTCTGAGATAGTCCTTTACCCCAGATCAGAGCATCCGGATCAAAGAAGGCGTGTTTCTGAGGTTGTCTTGGTAATATTCCTCAACTTGTCAACCTCTGGTTGGCTACACAAATCATAACATGAGAACATTAAAACTGGATCACTCTGGTGATTCATCAGTTCTAGGGAAAGCTTCAGACCAGCTATCTCAAGCAACACCTCTTTAACCATTAAAGCTTTTGACACGTTGTCAAAATCTTTTTGCACCTGCGAACAAGCAGAACAAGCTGATATTGTTCAGACTCCCTAAGAGTCCCAGACGCGTGGTTCCATCCGTCTGTCGTGACCCGAGACATCTCTGGACTGGAGAAGTCGGTGCTGTGGTCAGTCTACTGGACCTGGGTGCCAGAGGTCATCCGACCTCTCTGACCTTCGGATCCACGAAGAGGGTCTCCGAGAACGATAGCGTCTGGCGTGTTTTTGATTATAATCAACTTGATAGCTTAACGCAAACTAAATTCTTTTACATCCAGAACTCAGCTCTCCTAGAAACATAAGTTCTGATAACATCGCATTCACACATAGGTTTCATACATCACATCTAGTTCCAACCATCACAGTAAATGTTAGTTAATCTGTCATGTTTTAATTGTTTGTAAAATAAATTCTTACTTTTATAAACCTGACTCTTTTCTGAATCAAAATGAAGTGTGTACAATCCCCTAATAAATAAAGAATTCTAGAATCTTCTGACTAAACACCGTAAAGACCAAGCAGGTTGATGTTCTATATTTATATAGAGTATCACAGCTTATTGGTCATAAGTAGAGGTAATTCAATTCAATTCAAAAATACTTTATTAATCCCAGAGGGAAATTGATTGCTGTAGTAGCTCAGAATAATAATTATTATCAAGTCATCAAAGAGTTGTTGTATATTACAATGGCTGTTGGCAGGAAGGATCTCCAGTAGCGGTCAGTGTTGCAGCGAAACTGAAGAAGCCTCTAAGTGAAGGCACTCTTCCGTTGTCTGACAGTCTTGTGAAGAGAATGCTCAGGGTTGTCCATCATTTTCTTGATTCTCTGGAGAATCCTTCTTTGCATTATCTCCTCCAGTGGTTCCACAGTCGTTCCCAGAACAGAACTAGCCTTTTTTATTAGGCTGTTGAGCCTTTTCAGGTCCCTGCTTCTGATGCTACCCCAACAGACCATGGCTGGAGAGATTACACTCTCAACAACAGACTTGTAGAAGATCTGCAGCATCTTGCTACAGACATTGAAGGACCTAAGCGTCCTCAAGAAGTGCAGTCTGCTGTGTCCCTTCTTGTAAACAGCTTCACTGTTCTTTCTCCAGTCCAGTCTGTTGTCCAGGTGAACTCCAAGGTATTTGTATTCCTCAACCACCTCCACTTCTTCTCCCATGATGGAAACAGTGTTTGACTCCACCCTGTTTCTTCTGAAGTCTAAAATCATCTCCTTTGTTTTGTTCACATTCAAGGTCAGATGATTGTTTCCACACCATGCCACAAAGCGCTCCACCAGCTCTCTGTACTCAGCTTCCTGTCCATCTCTGATACACCCGACAACTGCAGAGTCATCTGAGTATTTCTGTAGATGACAGGTCTCTGATTTGTACTGGAAGTCTGAGGTGTACAGGGTGAAGAGGAATGGTGAGAGTACAGTCCCCTGTGGTGCTCCAGTGCTACTGATCGCCTGGTTTGATGTGCAGTTCTTCAGCCTCACAAACTGTGGTCTGTTTGTCAGGTAGTCTTTAATCCAGGCAATAGTTGAGGCCCCCACCTGTGTCTTCTGGAGTTTCTGGCAAAGTACATCAGGCTGGATTGTGTTAAATGCACTGGAGAAATCAAAGAACATGACCCTGACAGTGCTGCCTGCTTTGTCCAGATGACAGTGGATTGGTTGAAGCAGCTGGATGATGGCATCTTCAACTCCAACTCCATGGCAATAAGCAAACTGCAGCGGGTCCTGATATGTCCTAGTTTGCTTATTCAGGTGGACCAACAGGAGTCTCTCCAGGACCTTCATGATGTGGGATGTCAGAGCAACCGGTCTGTAGTCGTCATTGACTGATGGGAGAGTATTTTTTGGAACTGGAACAAGGCAGGATGTCTTCCACAGGACTGGAACCTTCTCCTGGGTCAGGCTGAGGTTGAAGAAGTGCTGCAGAATCCCACAGAGCTGCTCTGCACAGGCCTTCAGTACTCTAGGGCTGACACCATCTGGACCTGCAGCCTTGTTCCTATTCAGTCTCTCCAGCTGCCTCTTCACCTGACTTCTAGAGACAGATAGGTGGGAGGTAAATGGGGCAGCAGCATCTCCTGACTTGGTTGAAGACAGATTTATAGAACCATAAGAGTCAATTACTGTGTCAGAGGACAAAAGAGCTGGTGTGTGACAGGAAAATGTTGGATCAGAGGAGGATGGGATGTCTGATTGGCTGGGGACAGGCGAGGAGGATGCTGGGTTTGTTCCTGAACTGAACCTATTGATGAACTTGTTCAGTTCATTGGCTGTGTCCAGGCTGCCATCTGTGCAATCCTCCCTCTGCTTGAAGCCTGTGATCTTCTTCATCCCTGACCAGACATCTCTGATATTGTTCCTCTGTAGTTTGTTCTCCAGCTTCTTCCTGTATGCCTCCTTGCTGTCTCTGATCTTGATCTTCAGTTGCTTCTGTTTACTCCTCAATATTTCCCTGTCTCCCTCCTTAAAGGCTCTTTTTTCTCATTTAGCAGATTTTTCAGTTCACTGGTGATACAGGGTTTGTTACTAGCGAAGCATCTCGCTGTTCCGGTGGGTATGATGTTGTCCACACAGAAGTTTATATAGTCAGTGACACATCCAGTCATGGCATTGATGTCCTCTTCATATCCTTGGCAGAGAGTCATCCAGTCTGTGGTCTCAAAACAACTCTGCAGGGCTTCTTCAGCGACCTGTGACCATTTTTTCACAGTTCTTCTTGTCACAGGTTGCCTCTGAACAAGTGGTTTGTATTCTGAGCAGAGAAGAACAAGATTGTGATCTGACTGTCCCAGAAGAGGTCTTGTTTTGGACATGTATGTATTCTTTACATTTGCATAACACAAATCCAATGTCTTGTTTTCTCTGGTGGAGCAGCTGACAAACTGTTGAAATGTTGGAAGTGTAGCAGAGAGCGAGGCATGATTAAATGATGATAAATGACCTGCACTTGTATAGCACCTCTCAGAGTAAGGACTCCAAAGCGCTTTACACTACAGTGTATCATTCATCCATTCACACACTGATGGTGATGTGCTACAATGTAGCCACAGCTACCCTGGGGTGCACTGACAGAGGCGAGGCTGCCGAGCACAGGCGCCACCGGTCCCTCCGACCACCACCAGCAGGCAAGGTGGGTTAAGTGTCTTGCCCAAGGACACAACAGCAGAATTCTCTGTCCGGAGCCGGGATCGAACCTGCAACCTTCCAATTACTGGACAACCCGCTCAACCTGTTGAGCTACTGCTGCCCCAAATCACCAGATATATTCACAAATGCACTGGGGTGCTGGGCTTGTAGCTTAGGGACAACGGAACTGATGGCATCTCATTCATTTTTAGCAATGGCTGAAGGTGGAATATAAAAGGTTGCCAAGACAACATTGGATAACTCTCTTGGCAAATGATATGGGCGACAACTTACTGCCAAGAGTTCAACATCTGGGCTGCAGAGACGACATTTCACTGAAACATGACCTGGATGGCACCATCTGTTGTTGGCAAGCACTGCCACTCCACCTCCTTTTCTTTTCCCGCTCCTCTTCTGATCTCTGTCTGCTCATACAGTCAGGAATCCTGGCAGAGAGATGCTGGAATCGAGGATATGGTCCTGCAGCCACGTCTCAGTGAAACACATAACACTACACTGCTGATACTCTGGCTGAGTCCTTGAAAGGGCTTGGAGTTCCTCCATCTTGTTGGCCGGTGATCTCATGTTGCCCATTATGATTGATGGAAGAGATGGTTTGAATTTCCTCTTTCTCTGTCCCCGTTTTGCTCCCGCTCTGCACCCACGCTTCTTGCATTTTAGCTCATTTGAGATTTGTGGCTTCAGTTGAGGTATTATTTCAGCCTTTCCGATGTTAATCAGCTACTCCCAATTGTAAACCGGCTTGTTGCCATGGTTACATGTTTATGACAAATGCTCAAAAAGCGAAAAAAGTGAAAAAATAGCAGTAAAAGCTTCACAGCATCAGAAACAGAAAAGTAAAATGTCCAAAAAGATACAGTTTTTCTTGACAAACTAGAAGAAAAAATGTCAAAATAAAGCAAAACTTGCATATAGTCAACAGAGCTACTCCAATATGCAGCCACCCAGAGTAGCGCAGTTCCGGAATGTTCCGTAATATATATATTGGCTCTTAAAGCACTCAATTCTCAAACCCTACATCACCTAAGGCTGTGGTTTGCACTAAATGCACTATGAAATATTACTGTGTGCTTTTCAGCAAAAAAATGTTACTTTTATATATATACTTTTCTTGCCCTTATTTCTCTTTGAGTGCCTCACAGCAGTTTTTTTTTATTTAATTTTGTATGTAGGTATGTATGTACGTATGTACACGTGTGGGTATCTATGTATCCATGCTTATGTGTTTATATTTACGTGTGTATATATATATTTATACATATCGTTAATTTTACTATTGTTATTTATTTACTTTCCTTCTTTTCTTTTCTTTTTTTTGAAGTCTGTTATAACTTTCTAACTCTGCCACCTTATTTGTTATTGGTTGTGTTGTAGGAGGACCTGCTTGAAAATGAGATGTTACATCTCAAGCAGTTTATCCTCCTGAAAAACATAAGTTAAATAAATAAATAAATATATCTTCTTGTTGTTGGCACAGTGATATTTTGATCTTGTTGTATTTTTGTGTGTCCCCTTTTTTCCCTCTCTTTCTGCAGGTCTAAAAGTAGATTCTTGTACATCATTTATTGTTTACTTTCATGAAATTCAATGATCCACCTGAAAAACAGTTGCTGTAAGTGCAGCCCTGCTCCACGAGGTTGCTGAGCTTAATGCCACTGTGGACGTCATACATGGAGTCCAACACTTTCCTGTAAGAGAGAATAAAAACACAGAAGAGGGTTACATGTGAAGAGACGCGTTAAAAAGTCCCAAATAATAAATAAGCTGTGTTCACCCCAGGTTGATGTTGCGTCGTTCAGCAGGATCTGTGTCGTTCTGCGTCTTCTCACCATTGGTCGTCTTCAGCTGGTTGACAGCAGCTGTGATATCTGCTGCCCACTCGTCTCGCTCCTCTCTGGAACAAGCCTCCAAATAATGATCCACCCCGTGTTTGGTTTGCAGTTTCAACACCAGCTATTGAAAGGCAGATGAGGAGATCTCAAATTTAGCCCCAGAACAGACGACAAGCAGTTCTTCTAAGTGGATGATGGAGGTCGTGTCAGGACACAACAGAAACCTGAGGCTAGGAATGTTCTTGGAGGGGTGTGGAGCCACCTTACAGGACACAGATGTATGTTTACATGTAATACTTTTATTTTGAATATATTCACACATGGTTGGATAGAAATATATTAGCTTTAGTGAAAAATATCAAGGATTTTAAATTTTTTTTATAAAAGTAAATCAGAAGTAACTCACTGGCCGGTTTTCGTACTCCAGGTAAGGACATGTGATCACACAGTCCTTCAGCAGGATCTTCCCTCTCTGGGCCGAGTCTCTCTTCCCTCCTTCATATTTATAATAAAGCAACTTGTCTGGCGTCAGCACAAACCAGCGGGCTTTCCAGTTGTGAACAATATGGCCCTTGAAACACATAATTATAAATTGCGTATTTACTGCATATTTATTTTAAATAAAGCTGTTTTGACATGTTAAATAACTCACCCTCTTCACCAGAAAGCCTTCTCTCAGAATGATGATTTTCACGTCTGTGTCCATGCTCGTCAGAGTGTGACTTCTGTTGTTCTCTCCTCTCCTGTTTTAAATGATGAGGATGACTGCGTCATATGCTCACACCCTTAAACACTCCCTTTTTGACCCTCTGAACGACCAGATTGGGTAATAAAAAAGCTTTTCCTGCTCATTATCACACAAGGGCGCACCGACTCCTTCAGAAGCACAACACGAACGAGGCGTGTGGTGTTTTAGACCAGCTGGAACTCGATCTATCACTTTTGGTATGTGAGGAATTTAGATGAAACACCAGAGAGTATCCTGCTTACTTTTTCATCCAATTTGGATGAAAGGGGAGCAGCTGCTGACCGACTGCTGCATTTTTGCTCTAGGCAGAGTAGCAAGACTCCTTCAGATGTAAACTTAAATGAGATTCAGAGGTGGACTGGAGCGATAATTCAGCCCTGGAATATTTCTGTTTGTCTAGCCGTGTGTATTGAGGTACACTGTATTAACTTCTACAAGCAGGTAGGAGATGGATTCTTGCCAAACCTGCTCGAACCTCTTTAAGTGATGTCCAAGTGTGTGTGTGTGTGTGTGTGTGTGTGTGTGTGTGTGTGTGTGTGTGTGTGTGTGTGTGTGTGTGTGTGTGTGTGTGTGGACTCACAGATTGCTATGCCGCCTCTGGCAGCTATTCCCCATCCTTTTCCATTCATCTTTTTTAAATGCTGTTGGAAACCAGAGTGTTGTTCTATTTTGGCCAGCGGGGGAGCAGATTCCCCATTCTTACAAGACAGTGTTTTGGTAGCATTAAGGGGAAGTGTTTCCACTAAAGAGCTCTTTTAACTTTATAAATCCAGTTCCTTCATCTCGTTCTACTCCTCCTCATTATTAAAAGTCCCAAGAGGACAAAAAGAAATATTAAAATATTTTTAATGCTTCACTAAGATAGGAAGGCTAAAATATTCTCTTCTAAATGACCACTGGTTGCGCAGCACCAGGCTAAAGACCGAAGGTGACAGATCATTTGCTGCTGTGGCTGCCAGACTCTGGACCTCTCTCCCCCTGAGCCTGAGATCAGTGGACTCGGTGGTCTCCTTTAAAAGGCAGCTGAAAACTCACCTGTCCAGACTGGCTTTGGTGTGACCTTCGTCACAACCTTCTCCTTATTATGTTCTTATTCCACCTTTCTTGGGATCCATTGATTTCTCTCTTTCCTATAAATTTTCTCTCTCCTTTCATTACATTTTTTGTTGTTGTTGTTTCCTCATTTGAAACATATATTTGATCATTTTTTAAATCTTTTAATACTTTAAATTGGGGGGGGGGGTTGTTTTATTTTGTTTTTGTGAAGCACCTTGTGATTTTTATCTTGAGAGGCGCTATATAAAAGATCATCTTCTTCTGCTTCAAAAGATCAAAAGTGTAGTACCAAATTTTAGACACTGGAGGGCAGCAACTCCCCATCGTCAATTTTCGCAATGTTGTTGGAAACCAGAGTGTTGTTCTGTTTCTGGCCAGTGGAGGACGCAAATTCCCCATTCTTTCAAGGCAACAAAACAGTGTTTTGAAGAATTTAGAGGAAGGGTTTCTTGTAAGGGACTCTTTTAACTTAATAAATCCAGTTCCTGCGTCTCCTTCTACTCATACTCCTCCTTAAAATTATATTCCCAATCCCAAGAGGACAAAAAAGAAAGTAGAAGATTTTTTTAAGGGAAGCTAAAATGTTTTGTTCTAAATGGCTAAAAAAAGATCAAAAGTGTCGTACCAGCTTTCAGACACTTGAGGACAGCAGCTCCCGTTCTTCCCTTTTCTCAATGCTGTTGGAAACCAGAGTGCTGTTCTGTTTTTTGCCAGCGGTGGAGGCAAATTCCCCATTCTTTCAAGGCAACAAAACACAGTAATCCAAAGGGGTTTGAAAGAAGGCAATTCCATCCAGGAAGCTTTGTCAATTCTGTCTGGACTATGGGAGGGTCAATCTTATAAAATGTAGCAGTTTTTTGTTGCTTAATGAGCAGAAACTACCTGTGAATACCCCTCTACCCTCGATGAGTCATTAGCCTCTATTGTGTGTGAGTCGTTGTACTGATTAGATGCAGGAGGGTGTGACCTAGACTGAGGCCTAGTCCACACGTAGCCGGGTTTTTTTTAAACGAATATCCGCCCCTCCAAAAACTTGCATCCACACCACCTCGTTTTAAAAAAACCTCTGTCCACACGTACCCAGATAAATACGTTGTTAAGGACATGCCAGACCTGTAGGCGGCAGTACTTCCCCCGTTCTTAACCTCATCCTTCATCTGTGGTCTTCCGCAAGGAGCAGTAATTCCGCTTGCAAAAACAAACAAGCAAAAAGCGCTTGGACAATTGATAAAGCGAGCGCAGCTCTGAGGGCATCCATGCTGTCGGCTAGTGTAAACACAGGTCGCTCACGTGATGTCAGCATTTTTTTGTCACGGAAAGTGACGTTGCGGACCTTAAAACTCCGGTTTTGTCCGTCCACACGCAGACACCCAAAACGGAGAAAACACAGATCTTCACTTTGGCCGGAGTTTTTACAAAGATCCGTTTTCGTGTGAAAAAACTCCGTTTTTGTGTGGATGACAGGCCAAAACGTAGAAAAATATCTACGTTTTGGCAGATCCCCGGCTACGTGTGGACAGGGCCTGAAACTGGGCTTTAGGTGCAGAGCTGCACTGTAGGTGCTGGAAAGGTGAGGCCTCCTCCTCTATTTGATGTAGGCTTTTCCCGTTTGACATAGATAGCTTCTTTCACTCCTCTCTCAAACCATCTACCTTCTCTATCCAGAATCTGTACTTTGTCAACATCAAAAGTGTCATCTTCAAACTTTTAAAGACTCTATTTACCATGAGAGAGATTGCCAACTCTGCTTCCGCCTAGGTACGTCCTCAAACACTCGTGCATGCTCTGTAATGGACATCTATACATAACCTGAACACTATTGGCTAATGCTGAGCGGCGCTCAGTTCAAATCGCATGGGATTCTATGGGACAGGGGACTGACTTAGCAAAAATAAAAATGACATTTCCTACATTATATAACAGTGCATGTTAAGACTATCACTTTTATGGGTTCAAAAACATCCTACATAATTCCCAAAAGGAGGAATACTTCGGATTGTAGCTTTAATTGGAGACTAAAGTGGAAACTTAATTTGTGTGATTAGCTGTTTGTTTGTCTCTGCACGTCTCCTGTGATAGAAGACATGTCCAGGGTGTCCCTCGCCTCTTGCCTGATTAATGCCAGAGACAGATACCAACTCCCCACCACCCAACCGACGATAAAACAGTTAAGATAATGAATTATACCTGAGCTATACAGGGCAGGGTTGACTCACTCATCTGGCCAAAATTTTATTGTGAATACAAAATTGCTTTTGTTTCAAACCTGATCACATAAAAAGCCACCGGCCCTTGTTCACACTCCATCCGCTTATTTGTATTATGTGTTTTTATGTAGGATTTGCCAAAGCTACAAAGACAGAGTTGAAGATTTACAAATTGCAATAGGAACATCCCAGTACTCATGCACTTACACACTTTATGATTACAACATAATAAAAAATAGTTAAACATCCATTATCTGAACCCGCTTGTCCACGCAGGGTTGCAGGGGGCTGGTGCCTATCTCCAGCAGTCAATGGGCAGACAGGCGGGGTACACCACAGACAGGTTGCCAGTCTAACAACAACACAGAGACACACAAACCAACAATCAAGCACACACACACACACACACACACACACACACACACACACACACACACACACACACACACACACACACCTAAGGATAATTAGGCAGACCAACTAATATGACAGGAATGACTTTCCACGCTCGACTAATTTCTTTTACAACCTGCTCTTTAACTGTATTATTTCCTGCTCTTTCAGCTGTCAACTTTATTTTTTCTCTAAGTGTTTTTCTCCCCAGAAGAAGATACAACGATGTTCTGCTGAGTTGCAGAGGCCTCATGGTGGTGGTCGTCTTGAACACTGCTGCTAACCACTTAACATTCTCCCTCTCCTGATAATAACATTTTACTTTCTTTGACATTGAATGTGCTACTACTAGTTTACCCATTTATTTATAGATTCACTAGGATGAATACAATAAAGTTTATGTCTCACCAAATAGAATATTTTCCAAGAAATCACAATGTAACCATAGAAACACTACTTGGTATATGTTGTGTGTGTGTGTGTGTGTGCGTGTGCGTGTGTGTGTGTGTGCGCGTGCGCGTGTGTGTGTGTGTGTGTGTGTGTGTGTGTGTGTGTGTGTGTGTGTGTGTGTGTGTGTGTGTGTGTGTGTGTGTGTGTTCTGTCTTCTTGATCCCCAGTGAGTCGTGGAGGATGGCTGCTTATACTGAGCCAGGATCCTCTGGAGTTTTCTTCTTGTTAAAAGGGAGTTTTCCTCTCCACTGTTGCTAAATGCTTGCTTAGTATGAGGATTGCTGTATAGTCACTGACACTAGTCAGTGACTTGATGCAATTTGCTGGGTTCCTTATATAGGAAACTTTTTACTGATTGGCTTAATGAACTGACCTGAATTGGAATGTTTACTATGTGTAGTGCCTTGAGACGACTCTTGTCGTGATTTGGTGCTATATAAATAAACTTGAATTGAGTTGTGTTTGGATTGTGGGAGGACGTCGGAGTACCCGGAGAGAACCCACGCATGCACAGGAAGAACATGCAAAGTCCATGCAGAAAGAGTGTGAACCCAGGACGCTCTTGCTGCAAGGCAACAGTGCTAACCACTGCGCCACTGTGCAGCCAATAGTTCTATTGCAATAATAAAGTTTTTGTAAAGCACAATGGCTCAACAAAATTTGTACTGTGTAATATAATCACAGCACCCTATATTGACAGAAAAAACAGAATGTTTGAAATTTATGCTGATTTATTAAAAAAGAGTAAGTGAAAAAGTCACAGGGTCCGAAATATTCAGACCCTTTGCTGTGACTCCCATGTTTAACTCAGGTGCTTTCCATTTCTTTTGATCATCCTTGAGATGGTCCTACAGCTTCATTGGAGTCCAGCTGTGTGTGATTATACTGATTTGACTTGATTAGGAAAGACACACACCTGTCAATATAAGACCTTACGGCTCACAAT